ATGCGTAGGCAGAGCCGTCCATAGGGCGAGCGGGGCTCAGGACAAATCACACTACCTGGGCTCCTCTATGCCTTTAAAGTAAACTGAAAGTATTGCATCTGACACCGTGACGCCGAAGCGCCCCCCCCCCCAAAGCGCGGGGCCTGGGGCAGTCCCCGTGATTCAGCGTGGGACCTGGGGCGCTTGCCCTGATTCGCCGTGTCCCACGGACGGCTGTGTGCGTGGTGTAAATACATCTTTCAAACCAGTGACGGATCCACTTGAGTTCCATGAAAATTTGTGTTTTGTTAAAATGTACCAGAGAATTTTTTTTTTTACATTTAGTAATATGAGGGGGGGGGGGGAGAAATTTAAAATACTTGACATTTTGTCCTCCCGCCCCTCCCCTCGAGATCTCCATCTGATTCAAGCTGTCAAGAACCGTAAGAGAGAGGGGCTGAGGCAGGGCCCGTCATGGTTTCAATAGATGATGGGGCCGGTGGGAAAAAAAATAATGACTTGAGTGACAGCCAAGCAATGGAACGCGTCCGTGAGGACGTCCACTGACGTTGAGAGACGTCGCGATGGCATCGGCTCGCGTGCTCGCATGTTCTGAGTTGATCATTGCATTGTCGGACCGTGAGAGGCCTTCCAATGCGACAATCCAGCAGTGGATTGAGCATAGTTGCTGCTGCTGATGATGATGGTGGTGGTGAGCGTTAAACCCTTTAACGTGATCTTGTTTAAACGAGGATCATTCAAAACATAGGCGCTGCATTTGAAATAATGGTTAAAGTTTCTTAAATCCACCACTCACTTATCTCTATTCCACCGCCTCTGTCCACTCAGCAGAAGATCGGCAAGGTCGCGTGTGGTGGGTCAAAGTGTGGGTGCTCCCACCTCTCCCAAGACGCCTCACCAGCGCGAAAGAGGCGGCCAAACTCTCCTCGAATTAGTGATGCAAACAGAGCGCCCTCTAGCGGAGGCCCCGATGCAAGCAATGGCGAGGGCGAGCGTGATGAGTCTTTGACGGGAGAAGTATCTCCTGCCGACTCTTTGGTGAAGGCGCGCCCTCGTGTGTGAAGTCCAGTAACTACACCTGCCGCTTCTACACTGTGCCATTACCACAGGGATACCGTATTAGCTCCACTAGTTATCCATTCGGGAGAGTTAATAAGCGATATTTAATTGCTGCCACATTGTTTTTTTTGTATGGTAAGGTGCTTTCAACCAATGAATGACGGAGTTGTGTTTATTATTCACGTGGGGAGGAGGAAACCGGAGCACCAGGAGAAAAGGCCACGCCTTGCGCGAGGGGACAACGCTCTATCCCCGTACAGATGGGAACACGTGTGTGCGATTAAGAATGTTTTACCCCCCAACACTGCAGGAATGGGCCAAAACATTGCCAAAAATTACCGCTGTAGAGCATCTAAGTGCAAAACTAAGGGGCAGGGAAGAAGCTTGCCAGCAAACATGGAAACCCCTTTACGACTTCACCTCCAGTTGGCATTGATTCTTAAGAGCATTCATGAGGGCATTTAGGCACTTCCACTTTTCACCCCCTCCATGTTTTCGTCTTCTTCTTCTCCTACAGGGGTAACAGAGCTTAGGACAACACCAGGTTTATAGAGTTTATTCTGTTTACTGAAACATGCGGTTTAGACAGGTTTCCATTGCACCGCAATCCGTAATGTGTTTGTGCTGGTGTCAACCACCTTTGATATCCTCCTGTGTACACAATTGTTTTGTTAAAAAAATACTTTTGGGGGGGAGGGGGGGGGATACGTTTCCCCTTGCTGGCAATAAAGCAGGAGGTGTTAATATGTTCAAACACCAAATAGATACCTTTTTGCAAGGCATCAAATCTGCATTAACCACACGTAACTTGTGGCAAAACATGCAAACACACTCTGATAATCTCTACATATATAGAAAAGGCAAATTTGTGAATGTGTGTCTGTTCAAAATGTTTAGCGTACTTCCCGACATGCAACAAACTTGAAATTGCCATGTGGGTACTTTCCAGACTGTACACCATGCAAAAATTATACAAATACACTTTTGTGTTGGTTTTTTGGGGGGGGGAGGGGGGAGGCTCAATAATGTATTTATTTTTTATTGCACGGCAAGTGAGCTGTGACGTCAAATCTGTCACGTGACCCACGCATGTGGAAGCGTAACGCATTGTAGTGTAGTGGTTAGCGCGCTGTGTTTGTGTATCTGTGTGTCTGTGTGTGTCTGTGTGTCTGTGTGTATCTGTGTCTGTCTGTGTGTGTGTCTGTGTGTGTGTAATCTGTGTGTGTGTGTGTGGAAGCGTAACGCATTGTAGTGTAGCGGTTAGCGCGCTGTGTGTCTGTGTGTGTGTAATCTGTGTGTGTGTAATCTGTGTGTGTGTCTGTGTGTGTATCTGTGTCTGTGTGTATCTGTGTCTGTCTGTGTGTGTGTAATCTGTGTGTGTGTGTAATCTGTGTGTCTGTGTGTGTGTAATCTGTGTGTCTGTGTGTGTGTGTGTAATCTGCCGGGAAAGGTCCTGGCAAGGATTATTCAACATCGCCTTGCCAGGCACGCTGAGGAGAGGCTTGCGGAGCTCCAATGCGGTTTCAGGAAAGGGCGGTCCTGCACAGATGCCATATTTTCTGTCTGTCTGCTACAGCAGAGGTGTAGGGAATTCCAGCAAGACCTACATCTCTGCTTTATTGACCTGGTCAAGGCCTATGATACCATCAGCAGGCCTGGGCTCTGGTTGTTCTTCGTGCTTTTGGAGTACCTGAACCTCTGCTCACGATCATTAAGGACCTTCATGATGGTGAGCGGGCCCGGGTAAAACTACGTGGCCGGGAGTCAGAGCCATTCCCTGTACACCTTGGGGTGCGACAGGGATGTCCTCTGGCTCCCACATTATTTAACATCTATTTTGACCACGTAGTTCGTAAAGCCTTCAATAGCTGTACCGGGGGAATCTCCATATGGTACAGATATAATGGGAGGCTGATCGATGCCCGGGTGCGGTCAAGGGATGGCTCCCTATTGCTCAACCACGTTATGTATGCCGATGATTTGGTAATAGCTGCTCATTCAGAGGAGGAGTTGGAGACGCTGCTGCTGAGACTGGAGCGTGCTACTAAGAGATGGGGCCTTACCATCAGCCCCACCAAAACTAAGCACCTGCCTGGGTATTTTGTACCATCGGACACTCCACTCCCACAACTCCCAATCGGTAATGGGGCAGTTGTGGAGAGAGTGGAGAGTTTCCCATACCTGGGCAGTGTGCTTATGACCGGGTCCAGTTTAACAGCAGAGGTCTCACCCTGCAAACCCACGGGTTTTCATCAGAGATTTAGTCAACCGAGATGGTTTAAAATGAAGCAATCATTGGAAAGATGTTCTAAATCATACCAAACATGAAACTAATTTTCAATGGTACAGTATATTTTTTCAAGTAGTGATATACCAAACTTTCACAGAAGCTTATTTCCCTTCACACCTACATTTGTAAACTCCCCCCCCCCCCTCCGTGCCGGTCCTCTTGTGCTTTACGGTCATTTTATGCTAATTCCTTTGTCAAAGCGTTTTGTTTCCTCCCAGACAGCTTAAAGGTCGCGACCTGGGCTTGACTGTCTTCACTCCAACGCTGTCCTCTGGACAGTACGGTCCCTTCACCTGATGAAGGCCACTTGTGTTGTGCCGAAACGTCGTGATTTTTGTTGTTTTATTTTTTACCTACGTGACTTTACCGAATAGAACCAAAGAGTATCTTTTTATTGGTTGCGTAACGCTGTGTGGAAGCTACCTGTTCTGCCGCTCCGTACTAAGCTTCAGGTCTTCTCGGTCACGGTCATTCCCTCCCTTCTCTACCCTTGCGAAACGTGGACCTCCCTAATGGAACATCTTCGCCGGTTAGAAACATTTAGGCTGGCCTGCCTACGATCCATCCTGGGTTTAACCAGGCTGGATTGTGTGAGGAGCTCACAAATCTTTGAAAGATCTGGGCAAAGTCCCATCGGTGAGCTCCTCCGGCGGGCAAGGCTGCGATGGCTGGGTCATGTAGCCCGCATGCCCAGTCACCGCATGCCGAAACAGCTTTTGTTCGGCCGGATCGAGGGGGCTAAACGGGCGCGGCAGGGGCTAGAGAAGAGATGGAGTGATGTGGTACAGGAGGACGTGGAGGTGAGTGGACTTGCCGATGACTGGTATCAGCGGTGTCAAGATCGGCCTCTGTGGAGGAGGCTCGTGAAGGACGCTACTGGGCAGTTGGAGGCAGTCGCCCTCCAACAACAACGGAGGGCGGAGGAGCGACGCTCACAACAACGAGCGGAGCACCGGGTGGCTAAAGCACAGCAGGTTGGCAGAGTATGGGGCACAGGTGGTGTACCAGCCAGTCATCTCAGTCATCTTAGTCAGTCGACCCGTGGTACCTGGGTCTGCCCCGTGACCTCCTGCCCGCGGGCGTTCGACACTTCACGTGGCCTCAAGGTGCACATGGCCTGGCACAAGCGTCGTGGTGACGTTACCGCCACTTAATGGCGTATGGCGGTTGTTGTTGTAATCTGTGTGTGGCCGAAACGTCGTGATTTTTGTTGTTTTATTTTTTACCTACGTGACTTTACCGCATAGAACCAAAGAGTATCTGTGTGTGTGTGTGGAAGCGTAACGCTTTGTAGTGTAGTGCTTAGCGCTACGCCGCGCTACGAACCCGGCTACCCGAGTTCGATTCCCGCTCACGGCCACCACCGGTGACGATTATTTTAACCGGTCCTGGGCCTCCCCTAGGTCGACTCTGCCTCAAACGAGTAACTGGTGTGGTGTGAACATCGCCACTGGGGAGACAAAGGCGGCCGGGCGTGGTGGATCCAAGTCCTGGGCGAATCCGGGTAATACAGCTGGTAATATATACATTGTCTTTGAAACTGATTGGCGTACACCAGAGGCGGCAGCAGCAGCAGCAGCCTTCGTGATGGTGTAAGTCTCACCAGCAGTGTTAGACCAGAAAATACTGGCGACGAGGCCACTTGCCTCCTCCTCCTCGCCGCCCACGGGGAGGGAGTTTCACAGCAACGTCTGCGTGTGATCCATCAACCCTCTGGTGATGTGTGAACCCAGAGAGCCGAGTTCTGTAACGAGGTAGGCACTGAGAAGGGGTTGACAGGTGTGGGTTGTCCATCATCCAGCACTTCATTAGCAAAGAGGCTGTACGTTTAATTTTTTTATTTAAAGCTTTCGTGACTGCAGTAATTCATATTCTTAGCTCTTTCGATAAAGTCACGTTGAAGGGAAACAATAAAATAATAAAATATATGATTGTTTTATACATATTTTATTATTTCATTGTTTCCCTTCAACGTGACTTTACCGAAAGAGCTAAGAATATGTACGTTTATTGTCATGTTTTAATTGCAGTAATTATGGTAAATTAAAGGCAGCTTTCCCACGAAGGTGCTTTCAAACAAATGTATTAATCAACACGTAAATTAAGTCCGTCTGTCTGTAGGCCTTACAGTCGCATTAGTTTAAGTGTGGTTTGACCATACTTCACCACACTTTGCCGAGCCTGCCCCGCGAGCCCTGCATGGCGAGAAACCCAAGAACCGTAACCCCGCGTCTCGTCTCCATGGCAACGGACGCCAACACAAACACACAGTCGAAAGTGGCGCGGTTTTCAGTAAAAAAAAATTTGGTTACAGTTAAAAGTTAATTCGTTACAATCTACTTAAACTTCGACAGGTCTCGGAGCGGAATCCGCACGCGCAACGCCGAGCGAAACGCTGTTCCAGGCAAAGGAGAAAGGGTCGGGCCTGTGTGCTACGTGAAGCCTCGTTGTCGCCTGGTGGGGCTGCCGCCTGGGACGCAGGGGAACCCCGTGGCCCGGGCCTGCGGGGATCCGAGCGAATGCGGCTTCTCTACGTGACAGGGATACACCAGGGCACGGCGGGGAGTCGTGAGGATCCACGATGTTCAAGAAAGAGTTCCAGGTGTCTGCAGGGCCCCCTTGTGTGGAATTACAACAATGCGCTTCATTTATATCGGGAGGCGTCATTGAGTCTCAAGACTTTTTTAGAAGCGTGCTGCCACTTGAGACGTTTTGGTCACTCGCCCCATTCATGAGTTTGGCTTAGCGTGGATGGACACCTGGCTGAGAAAACGCACGCGTTTATTACGATCAGCCATTTTCTATCTACTGCTGGATGAAGCCCCCCCAAGTGGTTGGGATGAGCTGGTCTCATTGCTCGTCCCCACCGCGGGTTTCTTCTCCTTCATGATCCCTCCTTCGGCTGCTATTCCGTTCCCGGTCTCGTTAGTCGTCATCTATAGCAACAGCCTGTCCTTGCCGAGCCCACCTTTATCAACGCTCGGTGATGCCACGTCTCTAACTTGCGACTCTTCTGAACCTTTTGTCCAAGTATACATTCCAACGTTGGGCCAACGTTCCGTGTTTCCCGGGGTTCCTCCTCTTCCTCCCACCTCTCAGTGTGATTCCCAACAATGCCATCACTCCGCCGCGTTTCTTTGTGCGCCATTCAGCCCCACGTTCTGTTTTCTTGGTCACGTTTCTGATCCCGCGTCACGGACAATTATACGATCTAATTTTAAACTCTCCGCCTCGGGTTTGTTGTTTTTCACAGTGCTTTGACCTGTTTTTGCTTCGTTTCTATATTTCATAAGTTTGATCTCGGCCCACCTTTTAAGTTTTGCCTGAGGTATACTGACAGTAACTCTCCCAGGAAAACGTGCCAACGTTGACGCACCCATGGCATGTTTACCCAGCTGTTCTTTTTATATCGAACTCGTGCATTACATTTGCTTGCTCATATTTATCTTTAAGCTCATATTTGCAGTATTCCCTGAATTATATTGTCTACTTTTGGTTTAAGTCATGGGGCATGCATTCATAGAGCGCTCAGAGACACCCTGGCAAATAAGGCAATATACGTATAAAAAATTCATAATTGAACAAACCACAATTTATAACCCATGAATATGATCCTCGTCCTTATAGGACCGCCCCGGTGTCTGCATATGACCCCCAGTGTGGTGGAGGCTTCACAGAGTCCCCCGCTGATGACTGTTAATGTTGTCTCTTGGTCAGGGAGGGGAAAGCGTGGAGGTGTTCAGTGCCCAGGGCAAAGACCCCACTGCACGATGGCACCTACATGGGGGCCCCAGCTGCATCCAAAAGGTGAAATGCCCCGTCTTGTCCTTGACCCTCCGCCATCCAGCACCCCCACCTACACCTTTACAGCAATACCAGAGAACTCACACTGGACCCGGTGTGCAGGCTAATGCCATATGCGTTGGTTATTCATGAATATGCATTTGTAAACTCGTCATGTATATCGATTTAAAGCTTTCGTGACTGCAAGGATTTATCTTCTTTGGTTCTTTCGGTAAGGTCACGTAGAATGAGAATAATAACAGTCGTCCCGACACGTCTGTACCTTTCACCTGAAGACGGCCGCTTGCGTTGTGGCCGAAACGTCGTGAGAATTTTATTGTGTTATTTTATTATTTTATTCTCATTCTACTTGACCTTACCGAAAGAACCAAAGAAGATCGTGATGTATACGCGCAGCATTAATGTCTATCCACTACTGGTTGAGGGTCTCCCCACACCGTGTCGTGAATGGAGGTAGTTTGACCATACTTCACCACACTGGGCAGCGTGCGTTGGTGAAGTGGGGGGTATCCCAGGACTCGCTGAGATATCACCCGCCACTGATGTTATAGTCCTGGCCGGGAATCGAACTCCTCAGGTCGCTGGCTCTGAGAGCAGTGTGATAACCACTGCAACACTGCCTCCCCTATCATTTGCATATCATTTGCATATGATTAAATAAACGATGGGCTTAAACGTCCCCGAGCAATGTGGGGGCCTTACCGTTCATGGTGTCGCGCTTCTGCAGGTCTTCGCGCGCGACGTGCGGGGGTTCGTGTACACGCTGGAGGGCAGCCCCCAGATGACTCGCATGCAGCTCCCTAAGGACTCCCACCAGCAGCGTAAGTCACCCCCACACGGACCCCGAGATGGCTGGATCCAGATGACTCGCATGCAGCTCCCTAAGGACTCCCACCAGCAGCGTAAGTCACCCCCACACGGTCCCCGAGATGGCTGGATCCAGATGACTCGCATGCAGCTCCCTAAGGACTCCCACCAGCAGCGTAAGTCACCCCCACACGGACCCCGAGATGGCTGGATCCAGATGACTCGCATGCAGCTCCCTAAGGACTCCCACCAGCAGCGTAAGTCACCCCCACACGGACCCCGAGATGGGTGGATCCAGATGACTCGCATGCAGCTCCCTAAGGACTCCCACCAGCAGCGTAAGTCACCCCCACACGGACCCCGAGATGGCTGGATCCTAACCCTTGTACTGACCCTGACCCCTGTGTCCCCCGTTCCTCCCGTCCCCACGTACCAGTGAGTCTCCTACAGCCGTACCTCGCCGTGCAGCTAAACCAGGCGGCGGGCAGTGATTGCTCCCTCGAGCTGCTGTGAGTGGCACCACACGACACTTTCCCATGCACACACACCTACAAAGACAAAGATCCCCCCTATGGCCTTAACTGACTTTTGAGGATAGTCCTGTTAGCGAGCATCTATGAAGGCCACCGCGGCACACGAGGAGGTGGGTGGCCAGCACCACGCCGATGTATACACACCGCAACAGGTTCTCATTTTGAGACTGAGTCGACTTAGGGGAGGCCCAGTACCGGTTCAGATATTCGTTACTGATTTTGGCCGTGATCGGGAATCGAACTCGATTCGCTAAGTTTGGAGTGCAGCGTGGCAACCGCTACATGCGTGCACATACGCACGTACACGTGTGTACACGTACATATGTCCCTCCTCCACCCGAGTGAAAAGTGTGCCCCCCCCCACCCCCATGTAGTGTGCAGGACCTGGGCGCCACGCGCAGGAGGCTCTACCTGTCCACGGCCCAGCGGGAGGTGGCAGGGACACAGCTGCATGCTCGCCTGCCCCTCGCCTCACTTCCCCGCAGCGTGGCAAGTGCACAACACAAAATTTCTGTTGCCAGACTCCTCACGGGCTCCCAGAAATGAGACCACATCACCCCAATCGCTAGCTCTCGATCTGATGCCGGGTCAATTGCATGAACTTAAAGCTCCATGGATTTGCTCCTCCCTACCTCTCCCGCTATCATCTCACTCTAGTCCCCTCCACGCCCTCTCCTACTTTTCCTCTCTCACGTCTCTGTACTTCACTCCACGCACTCTCCTACCTTCTCCCCTCTCATCTCACACTGCTCATCTCCACGCACATGGTCTGTGTGGTCAGTCACATGCTCGGGGACATGACAACCGGGCGATCGGTCACGCGGTGAGTGTGTCGTGTGCGATGCGGCACATGTAGTGGTGTGTGCTGGTGCTGGACCTGGCCTCGCTGAGCTCCCTCGCCTTTCCGGGCAGCACCTTCAGCTCTCTCGAGGGAGTTGCCATCTCCGCCAGCTGCCGCCTGCGGAAGATCCTCACCCTCAAGACGGCACCCTTAGATGGTGAGCGTGGGCTAGGGGTGGGGGGACACCGGGAATCACGTCGACGGAAATTGGCAAATCATGGATTCTAACACAAAAGGTGGAATCCACTCATCATATTCAGCCACGATGAAGGCCTCCCTAAGCTGTCGTAATCACTCGTGGTGAAGCAACCATCCATCTGTCTCCCACAAACAAGCCCATTTTGTTATTCCTGTGGTAGCCTCTGCTTCCCTTGCCTCGACCAGGGATCATCTTCCCTTCTGTCCATAACCTGTCCTACCCAATCCCACTGACTCTTCGTGAGCAGTCAATGTGATGTCTCTCTAACTTGCTTATGTTCTCTGATTCATGTGTTCCTCTGTCTCTTTTTTTACATCAACATTTGTTTCATTTATCATCGTCATTGTCCATGCTTTCTGATCCATATGCCATAGCGTGTAATACACACAACACTTATTTTCTAGGCACATAGCTATGTTGCTTTTCATTGCCAGATTTCCAAAATCACTACAACCCACTCTCGTCCACCTCATTATCCTGTAAGTTGATCACGCTTCAATAACTGTCCTAGGTTCACATACTCTGCTGTGTTCATCACCTGTGTCCTCTTGTGAATCTGGTACAGGGAGGTGGTATTTTGTATGGGGGGGAGGAAGAAGCTAGTATGAGAAGTGGAATTAACTACAGGAGAGGTATAATTCAATATGGTTAGCACGGTGGGGGAGTGGGAGAGTATTGAATCTATTACTGGGAAAATAACCTGAAATTGGGCGTGGAATAAATAAACACGCATTTGTTACTCCTGAAGTTTCCGTTAAGATTCAGGGACATGGGACACCACAGCCAAGCAGGAAGGCAGCGAGAACTGGCATCAAACATTTCCTAAGCTCCGTGGCCCTATATTTAGATGTTCAGCCAACTTTATTCATGAGTGATTGCGGAGTGGAATCTGGTACCAGTGAAGTTGAACTCAGCAGGGAGGATATTTGTGGAGAAAGCTCTCTTGGTTTGGGCAGGGTTCCCGTCTCCTCGTGCCTTCCAGCTGCCGCCCGACGTCGCTCAGGTGACGCACCTGCTGGACGCCACCGCCTTCCGCCCGCAGGACGCCGGCCCTGGCGACCAGCTCGCCGGGGCCTCCGGTAGTCATGCCATGCCCTGCACAAAGATAGAGATCCCCCACATAGCCTTGACAGACTGTTGGGGCAAGTTCTGTTAGCGAGCACCTATGAAGGCCAGCACTGCACATGAGGGAATGGGTGTCCAGCACCGCACCCGGTCACCTTTGTCTCCCCAGCGGCAATATTTCCACATTGTACCAGGTACTCATTTGAGGCTGAGTCTACCTAGTGGTAGTCAACCCGGGCCCTCTACAAGCACCAAGACCCCCGACAGTCACACATTCTCTGTGTACACACAGAGGCCTCTGGTAGTAAACCTGTTCCGTTTACATGCACACACACGCACATAGTGGCCTCCGATATTCACTCATCTCCCTTACACACAAAGACCTCTCTGTAATAGTCAACCGGTGCCCTCTTCATATGCACACAGAGGCCTCCGGTAGTCACTCCTCGCCCCTATAACCAATTCTAACCACTGTCTGTAAATTACGAGAAACTCTGACACACAAGACTAATAACAATGGAAGCAAAAGGTGATATCCAGTGACAGATGCGATTGTGACCATGGGATCGATCCTCCCAGAATGCTCTGCTTTTCAGGTGACATCTCCATGTTGCGTGCATTATGCACACAGCCTTGTTTTATAGGCGGGACAACATCCAATTGTCCTGCGACTGCTGTCTAAAGTAATATGGCCACAGTGATGACGATTTTGAGTTGGGAGTCTCTCCGTTGCACGTTGGATGCATTTACTAACAATCATCTAGCGCGTGCAGCAAGTAACGACAAAGCAAACGTTTAAACGTGGAGAGGTGAGGTGCAGTGGGCCGCGAGGGCCGGATGCTGGGAAGCTAACTGTGCACCCCTCACCTGCCTGGGCACCCCTCACCTGCCTGGGCACCCCTCACCTACCTGGGCACCCCTCACCTACCTGGGCACGCCTCACCTGCCTGGGCACCCCTCACCTGCCTGCGCACCCCTCACCTGCCTGGGCACCCCTCACCTGCCTGGGCACCCATCACCTGCCTGGGCACCCCTCACCTGCCTGGGCACCCCTCACCTGCCTGGGCACGCCTCACCTGCCTGGGCACCCCTCACCTGCCAGCGCACCCTTCACCTGCCTGGGCACCCCTCACCTGCCTGGGCACCCCTCACCTGCCTGGGCACCCCTCACCTGCCTGGGCACCCCTCACCTGCCTGGGCACCCCTCACCTGCCAGCGCACCCTTCACCTGCCTGGGCACCCCTCACCTGCCTGGGCACGCCTCACCTGCCTGGGCACCCCTCACCTGCCAGCGCACCCTTCACCTGCCTGGGCACCCCTCACCTGCCTGGGCACCCCTCACCTGCCTGGGCACCCCTCACCTGCCTGGGCACCCCTCACCTGCCTGGGCACCCCTCACCTGCCTGGGCACCCATCACCTACCTGTGCACCCCTTCCCTCGTTCTGCGCCCCCAGCATCTCGGGCGGGCAGTGCCCGCGGGGCCCCCCCGGAGTCGCACATCGCCTTCGGGTCCCGCATGCCGGGCCGCGCTCCACCCTCCGGCAGACAGGCAATCTCAGCCAGGGCCCGGGAGGTCAGAGTTAGGGAGCGCAGAAGCATGCACGCACACAAGTACATGCACACAAACACACGTGTGCACGTGCGTAACACACGCGTGCGTGCGCACGTATATCACTGCGCGCACGAACGTATCGTCATGCACTGCACGCATACGCAGGTGCAAGCGCGCGTGCAGGCACGTGAAGATAACTACACACACGCGCACGCGTACGTATCCATGCGCACGTGCAGTACAAACGCACGTGCCCATACACACACATGCGGAGGCACACACACAAGCACACACCTGCATGCACACACGAATTAACAACACACGCACATGAACACGCGCGCCACTTTGCTGGCAAGTGACACTCCCTTGCGCACCTGCCTCCTCCCCCTGCCGGGTGCCGCGCGTGTCACGCAGCCCAACACCGCTGCTACTCACAGGCAGGCAGAGGACCAGGCCAAGGAGCCGTGCCCCCCTCTCAGACCCTCGCCCGGCCGGCGTGCCCCCCTTGTGGCCAGCCCCGCCAGGCGGGCCCAGGGCTCACCGCACCAGCCCCGGCCACCGCAGCGGGAACCGTCGGGCGAGCGCGCAGGCTGCGGTGGAAGAAGTGGCAGCAGCAGCAGCAGACGGAACCGGATCGAGGGTGCAGATCCGGATCGCATTCGCCTGCAGGGGAACTCCCCCGCGGTCACATCGCTCGTGACGAGGTCACCTGTGATGCGGTCACCCGAGATGTCACCTGTGATGCGTTCGCCTGACATGTCACCTGTCCGGGAGATGTTGAGAATCAGCATACCGGTGTCAACTCCATCGCAGAGCACAGGTGAGCTGTCTATGCCATTCGGCACATCGGGGTGCGTCGGTTGAGGATCGTCGGTCGAGGATCGACAGTCACGCTCGCGATACGCGCGTCAGATCGCGGCTTCAACAGTCGATCCTATTCGTCGTTTGCGTGGAGCGTGCGTGCGTTAATGAGATCTGCTCGTTTGCAGCAGTGAATAGACCGTGGCTAATGATATGTTGTGCGTGCATGTGTATGCAGTATACTAGAGAGCTACCTGAGAAATAACAAAAGTATGAACCAACGTCCCAGTGTCGGTGTATGAGAGCATACATGTGTACAGTTTACTAAAGGTCACGTGCGTGTGTACACTCTAATATAATGCACACACTTCACACACACACACCACGTGTACGAAGACTATCGTTGATCGTTTCAGACGGGTGGAAGTTTCCCAAGCATTTGGGCGACGATCTGGACTTCCATTGGGGCAGGAGGCCCCTCCCGCGCCCGACCCCCGACCCCCTGCTGCACCTGAATCTGGGCGGCCTGGACAGTGATGGGGGCAGCTATGAGGGGAATGAATTTGAAGGTGACGCAGGAGGAGGTGACACGGAGAATGACGCAGTCGGTGTCATGGTAGGTGACACGGGGAGTGACGATGAAAACCACGCATCACTGGGGCCCGACTCGGAGAGGGAAGGAGGGGCGCTTTTGGACCCTAAAGATGGGGGTTCCACGATGACCAAAATGTTCACCTTTTCGTCCGTCCCGCGTGCGGTGTGGGAGCGAGGAGGCTGCTCCCCCTCCACGTCCCCCGCTCCCTCCCCCTCCTCCTCATCGGGGCCCCCCGGTCTGGGGCACCACTTCGGAGCCTCCCCCCTCAGAGCCGGGGCACGGCTTCCTGCCCCACCCACCGTGGCTCCCACGCCCAGCAGCGGACTGCCCAGTCCCAGTCAAGGCCTGCCTTCAACAGCCCTGCCCTCAACAGGACTTCCCTCAACAGGCCTTCCCTCTACAGCCCTGCCCTCAGCTAATGCCAATGCCAGCACGAATGGAGGTTAGTGAGGGCAACGACCGGGTCACTGCAGCCGTCTCAATTATCGTGACAATGATTATGATGATAATGCTCTTCGGGAGATAGAGAAGAGTCTCGCTGAGCCTCAGGAGCCTTGAGACTCGGAGAGACCAGTTGATCTCAAGGAATGCCTCAGCGAGTCCCGAGTCTCAGGACTGGGTAAATGTGGGTGGAACGGTTTTTCCACCCTCCAGGTTCTATGAGTTGTTGTGATCCTGGACTCGTGATGGTAAATAAAACCTTGTTATTAACGTTGCTCCCTGCATGTGAAGCCGGGGAGATGGGGGCAGAGGGCCCAGGAACCGGCGGGAGGAGCGGGGACCCGGGCTGGACCGCGCGCATCACACGCCGCTCCCTCCGGGAGGTGACGACGCCCAGAGCAACAACGGTGAGCGCTGTCCACTGCAGCCTCGCACGACGGCCGCACACAGACAAAGGTCCCCCGTTGAGGCAAGTGCTGTTAGCAAGCAGCGCCTATGAAGGCCGGCACGGTGCTCGAGAGAGTGGGTGGCCAGGACTAAGTCCGGCCGCCTTTGTCTCCCCAGTGGTGATGTTTACACATCGCATCAGGCACTCATTTGAGACTGAGTCGACCTCGGGGAGACCCAGGTCTGGTTCAGATAATCGTTTCTGGTGTTGATCGTGAACGGAATTCTAACTCGGGTTACTGGCTAACCGCTACACTTCCGCAGTGAAGCAATTAAACCACAGAGTAACACCGTACCAATGAACCGGTTATCATGCAGTAAAATGTTAATTGCAATAAAATGCACAATTTCGGTGAAATCATGAAAGCCTCTGATCCTATTGAAATAATGAGGCCCAGAAATGGGTCACTGAGTAGACAATGTGCCTTTTTTCAACAATGTACCAAAATTCAACACGGTTACCAAAAATGCAATGTGCCAGCAAGTTTTAAATCTTTTACTTTTAATGCAAATTTGTGTACGCTTAACACATTTATTATTTTGGAAGGGTTTTGTCTGGCACTTGATGTCCACTAATAGATAACTATTCACATGCCAATTTAAGATCGTTTATCCGAAAACATTCTTAAAATAAATATTTTTACCAGGGTACAATGGTGTGTATAGTATGAAGTGTAGTCTCCTCCTAACTGGCCTCTCTATCCATGTGCTATAAAGGAGTGTCACTACCTGAAACGCCACCTGTTATGTATTTTATTCCTTTATGACTTTTTAAAAATGAACTATTCTGTCACCTGGATTCCGTGTTTGATTATGATGGTAATTGTGGTTGCGCTGTGGTGAGAACCACTGACTCACAATCAAAAGGTTTCCAGTTCAAGCCCAGGTCTCTCTGCGCGTCCCCCCGCATTTAGAACAGGAACGGTGCCGTTCCACCGTCCTGGGAACCGGGCACAGCGGGGGTCCACAGGGCCCCCCTGGGCCCCCCAGACTCGCTGGAGGCCAGCGTGCTCGCCAGCCTCCACCGGCAGCAGTTGGCGGAGGCGCGGGGCGAGTGGGGGGGCGGCAGCGCCAGGGGCCCCCCGGTGGGGCACGAACGCGCCCTCATGAGTTTCGGCAGCGACAGCGAGAGGAGCCTGAGCAGCGACGACGCCGGGAGCTGTGTCCTCATGGGCCCGGGGACCCCAGTGGTGTGACGCTACACGCCGCCCCCGACAGAGCCGCACCTCAGTTATAGCATCGGCACAGATAAAATGTTACAACTACACCACAACAATAGGATTAACACTGCTACCTACAGCAGGTACGAACACTTCCAAACGTCATCGTTTGACTGGGACAGTCCCATTTAATTCAAAGAGGCTGTCCGAGTGCCCCTCCTATCACCCCCTGCGCCGGACCGAAACATTTTTGAAACTCCGGATTTTGCCTTGATTTTAAATATTCCTGGCCTCGTGCTCGACTCAACATACGAACGGCAGGTGACGCTGCCTGACACAGGTGCAAGCGGGACACATGAGCAGTGTTACACAGATCGGCCACTCACTGCGTGGGTGGGGCTCGTGGTTGAGTGGGTGGGGCTATGTAAAAGTGGGCGGAGCTGAGGGAGGAAGAGGCTGCCAGCTTACCATGCGACCTGAGTGAGTCTCCCAAAAGTTTTGTAGCTTTATCATTAACACGGCTACAACAGCGGCACTGGCACGGGATCGACATTTGGAGCTGCCCCCACCCGCTCCCTCCCCGAGTCGGTGAGGTGAGGGGGCACTCTGAGTGATGGTACGATTGCCAGGGCCCCCCACATTTTTCCCCCTCTTTGACGCCTGCCCCCCTCCTCCTGCTACTTGTGTCCCCCCCCCCCAAAACCCCAGGGCTCGCGGTATCAGCAGGAGATGCAGCTGCTGCTATCGCGACGGACGGGCGATGAGGAGGACCTGGCTCAGTCCTCCACGCGGTGCGCGCTGCCAGCCACAGTCCTGACCCTAGCACTAACACTGACCCATGACCCTAACTATAATCAGGATTTATATACTGACCAATGCACAATCGTTGACGATACTGACTATGTAACTCACAAAGATCCTCGCACTAACCTTCACCCTAGCACTAACATTGACCCTGATCATAACTGGCTGCAGCCATAATAAAGACATGAACACTGCCGCCAGTATTAACACTGACTCCAGCACCAACACTGCTTCGAGCACTAACGCTGCTGCTTGCACTAACAATGAACCTGAAACTAATTATGAACATAATTTCAAACTGAGTTCGATTCTAGGTCGTGGCTAATATCAGTGTCGAATATCTGAACCAGTCCCGGCTCTCCACTAGGTTGACTCAGCCTTAAACGTGTAAATTGTGTCGTGTAAAACTTCAGTACTGGGGAGACAAAGGTGTCCGGGCGTGTTGTTGGCCACCCACCCCCTCGTGTACTGTGCAGGCCTTCATAGGTGCTCGCGAAAAGCACTTACTCCAAAGGTCTGCTAAGGCTACATGGGGGATCTTTGTCTTTGTGCGTGAGTAGGGGGTACAGCCCCCCCATCATCCTGCCCAGTGAGAGGATGCAGTTCACAGTCCGCGACAGCGTCCATAGCAGCCAAGGTGACACCCTCACCACAACACTCACTCCACACAGCACAACATCCCACACACCGCTCACCACTCCGAGCACCGTACACCATACCGACCAACACAACCCACTCAGCACACCGTATGCTGCTCATCAGACAGCACTCATCACATCATACGCCTCTTCTCACACCTCTCATCACCGCTGACACGACTCGCCATTCACGACACCGCAGCTCTCACCACGCTCACCGCGGGGCCGTTTGCCGTAGACGCCGCCCCCGCTGGTGAGGAGGACATGCTGGAGCTGCTGTACGACCCGTGCCTCGACTGCTACTTTGACCCCGTCAGCGGGAAGTACTACCAGCTCCGCGACTGACGGGCCCTGGCTGGCCTCACACAGGACCCACCCTCCACAAAGAACATCGACAGGACCCACCCTCCACATGGGGCCCACCCTCCACGCGGGGCCCACTTTCCACGCGGGGCCCACCCTCCATGCGGGGCCCATCCTCCACATGGGGCCCACCCTTCACACAGGACCCACCCTCCACGCGGGGCCCACCCTCCATGCCGGGCCCACCCTCCACGCGGGGCCCACCCTCCACGCGGGGCCCACCCTCCACACAGGACCCACTCTCCACGGGGCCCACCTCACACAGCCTCCATCTGCACCCCCAAGGGTTCCACACCCCCTGTGGTTTTCTCTGAGGTCCCCTTGGTCACTTTGTTCCCCTTTGCCGAGTGCCGCTCAGTGGCTAGAGCTGAGGGATGAGTGGCCTCCGCCGATTCAAGATGAACGATGGCGATGACGACGATGACTATAGGAGTATAGGGTGAGAACGTCTGTTTGAATCGTCGCTCTGAGAGTCGCCGTGTCTCGGTCCCTCTTGGTTACTCCTCTCTCTCACTGTGACGTGCGGCGTAAGGTTAGGGTTACGTAAATAAACCTGCCGCGGTGCTAGCCGTGATGATAATGGATCTCTGCATGTGAGTTCTGGCCTGTGTGGTGTGATAGCGGAGGTGTTCCCGGTTTCTGAATGTGTCGATTAAGTTTGATCATTCGACTCTAAATCCTGATCGACAGCTGTTTTTTGTGGTCGATTACTCGGGCCCATTTAGAAAGTGGCTGACCACTCCCACACCCTGCTTCTACGAAGGCTGGAAACCCCCTACAAGCCACGCCTGGTGTGACAAGGTTGATGATGCTGATGACGATCCCAAGCCCCGACCAGCCTCCCATGTTCAGTGCCACCCTTGGAGACAAGAGGTGAAGACTGATTTTTTCTTCCCCCAACACTTTTCGTATTATCCAATCGGTGGCGGAATGGAACCGATAACCGACAGAGGAATTGATTGCTCGAATGATCAGATATGGTTGCTAAGAAGCGACCTGCATTTAAACTTTTGGCAAAGTGCATAAAAATCGCCCGAAGCTACGACACCTTGTGTTCCCCAGCGGTCCTCCATCCAAGTACCAACCAGGCTCAACCCAGCTTGGCTTCTGAGTTCTGGAGCGATACATTTCGGGTCATGTGCCTCCTGCCTTGGCCGCCCCGATGACCGCTCAGCTTTGGTCTTAACTGCCATGAGCAATCCGAGTGAGTGCTCTGTAAGAGGCATCAGGACGATACAAATTCCATTTACTAATCTATCCTTTGCGGCAAAATTAATTTTTCCTCCGCCGCTTTTTGATCGGATTCAGGTTTTATGGAGACGTCCCAAGGACGGGCGGCACAAAGGGGCCGTGGTAATCCGAAGAGTTCAGCTCCGCACGGGGATCGTGGGGGGAGGGGGCCCTGGGGCCACGGTGCCCCGGAGTTAATCCTGCTGCCCCCTCCTGCACCACCCTGCGTCCTCCTGTTCCTAGCGACGTCTCTCCCACTCACCTAGCCCTCCTACCCCACTCTTCTCTGTGCCAGCTTCTCCGCTTGCTCCATCCTCTTTCTGTTCCATCTTTTTCCTCCCTCTTGCCTCTTCCTCCTGTCCCCCCCCCCCCCCTCTTACCTATAGCTCTTCCTCTAACGCAGTTCTCCCTCCTCGTTTACCGATCTGACCGACTTCTCTCTTTCTTCTCCCTCCTTCCTCTTTCTTTCTGCTCCCTCCTCTCTTATCCAGATCCTTCCTCCCATTCCCTCCTCATAATCCATTATCCGCCCTGGCACCTCCCCCCTGTGCCCCCCATTTGTCACCGCTGGGAAACAGATGTAATCACCCGCCCCCCCCCCCCGACTCACATCTATGCCGGCACTGTGAGCTCACCACTCACGGCTTACTCCAACCGCAGCGCAGAGCAACGTGGCGTGGACTGCAGCACGCCCGGCACCTGTCAACTCACCTGTCAGCTCACCTGGCGAGAGCACGACTGGTGAGACACACCCGGTGAGACATACGCCGGGATAGACAATTGGTGAGGCTCCCTCCCCGCCTCGTTATCGCAGTGTAGCTGTAACGAGACAGAGGTGTCGTCAAAGAATATCCCCTCTCCTCTCCTCTGTCATAACCCTCTCCTCTCCCTAACCTTCTTCTCTGCCTGAGAAGAAACCTCGGTTATGTTTTGTTGAGCCCTGGTTACTTCGTCATGACAGCGGTTTCATTCATGCTGCACCGTGAAATGCTTGATCCCTCTTGAATCTTTAATTACGTTAATTTCCGCATCTATTGACTCTGGTCACTTTTGCTAGGGTTACGGTTGAGCTAGGGCGGGGGTCAGCAACCTGCGCCTCCCGAGTCGCATGCGGCTCTTGAAGGACTGCTTCGTGACGTCATGTTTGTATGTATCCACATTCCATTGCGGCTCTTGAAATAAGAGTTTTGTGCCGAATTCGAAAAATGTCTCTTACTATTTTGGTTGCCGACTCCTGAGTTAGGGTTGGGTGGAGCTAGGGTTGGGTGGAGCTAGGGTTGGGTTCAGTTAGGGTTGGGTGGAGCTAGGGTTGGGTGGAGCTAGAATTGGGTTGAGTGGAGCTAGGGTTGGGGTTGAGCTAGGGTCGGGTGGAGCTAGGGTTGGGGTTGAGCTAGGGTTGGGTGGAGCTAGGGTTGGGGTTGAGCTAGAGTTGGGTGGAACTAGGATTGGGTGGAGCTAGGGTTGGGTGGAGCTAGGGTTGGGTGGAGCTAGGGTTGGGGTGGAGCTAGGGTTGGGTGGAGATAGGGTTAGGTGGAGCTAGGGTTGGGTGGAGCTAGGGTTGGGTGGAGCTAGGATTGGGTGGGGCTAGGGTTGGGTGGCGCTAGGGTTGGGGTGGAGCTAGGGTTGGGTGGAGATAGGGTTAGGTGGAGCTAGGGTTGGGTGGGGCTAGGGTTTGGTGGAGCTAGGGTTGGGTTTAGTGGAGCTAGGGTTGGCTGGAGCTAGGGTTGGGGTGGAGCTAGGATTGGGTGGAGCTAGGATTGGGTGGAGCTAGGGTTGGGTGGAGCTAGGGTTGGGTGGAGCTAGGATTGGGTGGAACTAGGGCTGGGTGGAGCTAGGGTTGGGTGGCGCTAGGGTTGGGTGGAGCTAGGACTGGGTGGAGCTAGGATTGGGTGGAGCTAGGGTTGGGGTTGAGCTAGTGTTGGGTGGAGCTAGGGTTGGGTGGAGCTAGGGTTGAGGTTGAGCCAGGGTTGGGTGGAGCTAGGGTTGGGTGGAGCTAGGATTGGGTGGAGCTAGGATGGGTGGCGCTAGGGTTGGGGTTGAGCACGGGTTGGGTGGAGCTAGGGTTGGGTGGAGCTAGGGTTGGGTCGAGCTAGTGTTGGGTGGAGCTAGAGTTGGGTGGAGCTAGGGTTGGGTGGAGCTACGGTTGAGTTGAGTGGAGCTAGGGTTGGGTGGGGCTAAGGTTGGAGATAGGATTGGGTGGAGCTAGGATTGGGTGGAGCTAGGGTTGGGTGGAGCTAGGGTTGGGTGGCGCTAGGGTTAGCTGGACCTAGGGTTGGGTGGAGCTAGGATTGGGTAGAGCTAGGGTTGGGTGGGGCTAGGGTTGGATGGAGCTAGGGTTGGGTGGAGCTAGGATTGGGTGGAGCTAGGGTTGGGTGGAGCTAGGGTTGGGTGGAGCTAGAATTGGGTTAAGTGGAGCTAGAATTGGGTTAAGTGGAGCTAGGGTTGGGTTGAGCTAGGGTTGGGGTTGAGCTCGAGTTGGGTGGAGCTAGGGTTGGGTTGAGCTAGGATTGGGGTGGAGCTAGGATTGGGGTTGAGCTAGATTTGGGGTGGAGCTAGGGTTGGGTTGAGCTAGGATTGGGGTGGAGCTAGGGTTGGGTGCAGCTATGGTTGGGTGGAGCTAGGGTTGGGTGGAGCTAGGGTTGGGTTGAGTGGAGCTAGGGTTGGGTGGAGCTAGGGTTGGGTGGAGCTAGGATTGGGTGTAGTTAGGGTTGGGTGGAGCTAGGGTTGGGTGGCGCTAGGGTTGGGGTGGAGCAGGGTTGGGTGGAGCTAGGGTTGGGGTGGAGCTAGGATTGGGTGGAGCTAGGATTGGGTGGAGCTAGGGTTGGGTGGAGCTAGGATTGGGTGGCGCTAGGATTAGGTGGAGCTAGGGTTTGTTGGAGCCAGGATTGGGTAGAGCTAGGGTTGGGTGGAGCTAGCATTGGGTGGAGCTAGGGTTGGGGTTGAGCTAGGGTTGGGTGGAGCTAGGATTGGGTGGAGCTAGGATTGGGTGGAGCTAGGGTTGGGGTTGAGCTAGGGTTGGGTGGAGCTAGGGTTGGGTGGAACTAGGATTGGGAGGAGCTAGGATTGGGTGAAGCTAGGATGGGTGGAGCTAGAATTGGGTGGAGCTAGGGTTGGGTGGAGCTAGGGTTGGATGGAGCTAGGGTTGGGTTCAGTTAGGGTTGGGTGGAGCTAGGGTTGGGTGGAGCTAGAATTGGGTTAAGTGGAGCTAGGGTTGGGTTGAACTAGGGTTGGGTGGAGCTAGGGTTGGGGTTGAGCTAGGATTGGGTGGAGCTAGGATTGGGTGGAGCTAGGGTTGGGGTTGAGCTAGGGTTGGGTGGAGCTAGGGTTGGGTGGAACTAGGATTGGGTGGAGCTAGGGTTGGGTGGAGCTAGGGTTGGGGTTGAGCTAGAGTTGGGTGGAGCTAGGATTGGGTGGAGCTAGGGTTTGGTGGTGCTAGGGTTGGGGTGGAGCTAGGGTTGGGTGGAGATAGGGTTAGGTGGAGCTAGGGTTGGGTGGAGCTAGGGTTGGGTTGAGTGGAGCTAGGGTTGGGTGGAGCTAGGGTAGAGGTGGAGCTAGGATTGGGTGGAGCTAGGATTGGGTGGAGCTAGGGTTGGGTGGAGCTAGGATTGGGTGGAGCTATGGTTGGGTGGAGCTAGGGTTGGGTGGCGCTAGGGTTGGGTGGAGCTAGGATTGGGTGGAGCTAGGATTGGGTGGTGCTAGGATTGGGTGGAGCTAGGGTTGAGCTAGCGTTGGGTGGAGCTAGGGTTGGGTGGAGCTAGGGTTGAGGTTGAGCTAGGGTTGAGTGGAGCTAGGTTTGGGTGGAGCTAGGATTGGGTGGAGCTAGGATGGGTGGCGCTAGGGTTGGAGTTGAGCACGGGTTGGGTGGAGCTAGGGTTGGGTGGAGCTAGGTTTGGATGGTGCTAGGGTTGGGTGGAGCTAGGATTGGGTGGAGTTAGGGTTGGGGTTGAGCTAGGGTTGGGTGGAGCTAGGGTTGCGTGGAGCTAGGATTGGGTGGACTAGGGTTGGGGTTGAGCTAGCGTTGGGTGGAGCTAGGGTTGGGTGGAGCTAGGGTTGGGGTTGAGCTAGGGTTGGGTGGAGCTAGGGTCGGGTGGAGCTAGGGTTGGGGTTGAGCTAGGGTTGGGTGGAGCTAGGGTTGGGGTTGAGCTAGCGTTGGGTGGAGCTAGGGTTGTGTGGAGCTAGGATTGGGTGGACTAGGGTTGGGGTTGAGCTAGCGTTGGGTGGAGCTAGGGTTGGGTGGAGCTAGGGTTGGGGTTGAGCTAGGGTTGGGTGGAGCTAGGGTCGGGTGGAGCTAGGGTTGGGGTTGAGCTAGGGTTGGGTGGAGCTAGGGTTGGGGTTGAGCTAGAGTTGGGTGGAGCTAGGTTTGGGTGGAGCTAGGGTTGGGTGGCGCTAGGGTTGGAGTTGAGCACGGGTTGGGTGGAGCTAGGGTTGGGTGGAGCTAGGTTTGGATGGAGCTAGGGTTGGGTGGAGCTAGGATTGGGTGGAGTTAGGGTTGGGGTTGAGCTAGGGTTGGGTGGAGCTAGGGTTGCGTGGAGCTAGGATTGGGTGGACTAGGGTTGGGGTTGAGCTAGCGTTGGGTGGAGCTAGGGTTGGGTGGAGCTAGGGTTGGGGTTGAGCTAGGGTTGGGTGGAGCTAGGGTCGGGTGGAGCTAGGGTTGGGGTTGAGCTAGGGTTGGGTGGAGCTAGGGTTGGGGTTGAGCTAGAGTTGGGTGGAGCTAGGATTGGGTGGAGCTAGGGTTGGGTGGTGCTAGGGTTGGGGTGGAGCTAGGGTTGGGTGGAGCTAGGATTGGGTGGAGCTAGGGTTGGGTGGAGCTAGGATTGGGTGGAGCTAGGGCTGGGTGGAGCTAGGGTTGGGTGGCGCTAGGGTTGGGTGGAGCTAGAATTGGGTGGAGCTAGGGTTGGGGTTGAGCTAGCGTTGGGTGGAGCTAGGGTTGGGTGGAGCTAGGGTTGAGGTTGAGCTAGGGTTGGGTGGAGCTAGGGTTGGGTGGAGCTAGGATTGGGTGGAGCTAGGATGGGTGGCGCTATGGTTGGGGTTGAGCATGGGTTGGGTGGAGCTAGGGTTGGGTGGAGCTAGGGTTGGGTGGAGCAAGGGTTGGGTCGAGCTAGTGTTGGGTGGAGCTAGTGTTGGGTGGAGCTAGAGTTGGGTGGAGCTAGGGTTGGGTGGAGCTACGGTTGAGTTGAGTGGAGCTAGGGTTGGGTGGAGCTAGGGTTGGAGCTAGGATTGGGTGGAGCTAGGATTGGGTGGAGCTAGGGTGGATGGAGCTAGGGTTGGGTGGAGCTAGGGTTGGGTGGAGCTAGGGTTGGGTGGACCTAGGGTTGGGTGGAGCTAGGATTGGGTAGAGCTAGGGTTGGGTGGAGCTACGGTTGGATGGAGCTAGAGTTGGGTGGAGCTAGGATTGGGTGGAGCTAGGGTTAGGGTTGAGCTAGCGTTGGGTGGAGCTAGGGTTGGGTGGAGCTAGGGTTGGGGTGGAGCTAGGGTTGGGTGGAGCTAGGGTTGGGGTGGAGCTAGGATTGGGTTCAGTTAGGGTTGTGTGGCGCTAGGGTTGGGTGGAGCTAGAATTGGGTTGAGTGGAGCTAGGGTTGGGTTGAGCTAGGGTTGGGGTTGAGCTCGAGTTGGGTGGAGCTAGGGTTGGGTTGAGCTAGGATTGGGGTGGAGCTAGGATTGGGGTTGAGCTAGAATTGGGGTGGAGCTAGGGTTGGGTTGAGCTAGGATTGGGGTGGAGCTAGGGTTGGGTTGAGCTAGGATTGGGGTGGAGCTAGGGTTTGGTTGAGCTAGGATTGGGGTGGAGCTAGGGTTGGGTGGAGCTAGGGTTGGGTGGAACTAGGGTTGTGTGGAGCTAGGGTTGGGTTGAGTGGCGCTAGGGTTGGGTGGAATTAGGGTTGGGTGGAGCTAGGATTGTGTGTAGCTAGGGTTGGGTGGAGCTAGGGTTGGGTGGAGCTAGGGTTGGGTGGAGCTAGGATGGGTGGCGCTAGGGTTGGGGTTGAGCACGGGTTGGGTGGAGCTAGGGTTGGGTAGAGCTAGGGTTGGGTGGAGCTAGTGTTGGGTGGAGCTAAAGTTGGGTGTAGCTAGGTTTGGGTGGAGCTACGGTTGGGTGGCGCTACGGTTGAGTTGAGTGGAGCTAGGGTTGGGTGGAGCTAGGGTTGGAGCTAGGATTGGGTGGAGCTATGGTTGGGTGGAGCTAGGGTTTGGTGGAGCTAGGGTTGGGTGGAGCTAGGGTTAGGTGGACCTAGGGTTGGGTGGAGCTAGGATTGGATGGAGCTAGGGTTGGGTGGAGGTAGGATTGGGTGGGGCTAGGGTTGGGGTTGAGCTAGGGTTGGGTGGAGATAGGGTTGGGTGGAGCTAGGATTGTGTGGACTAGGGTTGGAGTTGAGCTTGCGTTGGGTGGAATAGGGTTGGGTGGAGCTAGGGTTGGGGTTGAGCTAGGGTTGGGTGGAGCTAGGGTTGGGTTGAGTGGAGCTAGGGTTGGGTGGAGCTAGGGTTGGGGTGGAGCTAGGATTGGGTAGAGCTAGGGTTGGGTGGAGCTAGGGTTGGGGTCGAGCTAGGATTGGGGTGGAGCTAGGGTTAGGGTTGGGTTAAGCTAGGGTTGGGGTGGAGCTAGGGTTGGGGTTGAGCTAGGATTGGGTTGAGTTAGAGTTGAGTTTGGGATAGGGTGTGGGTAGCTGAGAGGCTTCATTGCAAGAGCCCATCCAGAGTCACGAAACTCGCGGCCTCCTCCTCCCCTTCCCAGTGAGGACCATGCAGGAGCAGAACAGCAGCACGGCGGTGGCGGTGCCCGGCGCGGTAACGCCAGGCCCCACCATCTTCCCCCCTGTCGGCTACAGCGTCCTGGCGGCAATCATGTTCCTCGACGCCAGCCTCTCCATTGTCAACAATACGCTGGTGGGGCTGGCGCGATGATGAGGGGGAGGGTGCGGTGAGGGGTAGTGAGGGGTGGCGAGTGGCGAGCAGGTAGTGAGCAGGTGGTGAGTGGGGGTGGTTGGAACCGTTGGCCCAACATTCTATGTTTACTGGGGAGGTGATGGTGGCCGTAAGGAGGTCGTGATGATGGTGAAGACGTGGTGATGTGGATGTCGCAGTGGTGATGAAGATGAGGTAATGGTGATGGTGTAGTGGTGAGGAAGATGAGGTCGTGGTGATGGTGAGGACGTGGTGGCGTGGAGAGGTGTCAGTGGTGGTGAACAGGCGACGGTGGTGGTGAGGCGACGGTGGAGGTGATGGTGACAGTGAGGAGTTCGTGGCGACGGCGTTTTCAGGTGATCGTGATCACCTGCCGCTACCCGTCCCTGCGGAGCCCGCTGAACGCGCTCATCCTCAGCATGTGCGTGTCGGATCTGCTCATGTCTCTGTGCGGCACCACCATCGCCATGGTCTCCAACTTCCATGGCTCCCTACGCCACATTGGCCACGCCGGCTGCGTCTTCCAGGGATTCGCGGTCAACTACTTCGGTGAGACCGGCCGGGGGGGGGGGGGGCAGTGTAAGAGAAGACTGGGGTCACAGGGGGGTTCAGCAGAGAGGTGCAAGAGTCAATGCGAAAGAAGTTCAACATACACACATTACACACAAGGGGGATGATGGCACCAGGAGGTTCTGTTTCAGACAAGCAGGAAGTGACCTTTTCCAGTCCTCTGCCCAATGTCAGGTCCTTGGCTCCACCTCCCTTCACCAGCTTGCCTGCCCCATCTAGAGGTTTCCTCTTCGCCTCTCTCTCGTTCCGCCTCTCGGCCTCGTTCCCGACATCCCCGAGGCTTACAGAACTTTCCGCATCGAGGTCCCAGCTCTGAGAAGAACGCGGCCAAATCACGTCGTTCGGCAACCACACTTCTCACGTCCTGAACCTGCTTCACGGCTTACTCGTTTCTATCGCTCTCCATCCAACTGTCTGTCTCCATTCGGGACCCACGACTCACGTGGATCGACTGCAGTCGAAGAGTCCAAAGTTTCTGAAATTATAACACGAGGCAGGATGTGGTGGCGCCCAATATTTTTAAATGGTGCTGAGTGATCAGCTGTCCGTGGTGGACACCGCTGCTGGTGAATGCTGGCAGCATTGCTGGCAGCATTCACCAGCTCAAGTTGTACCGAGCAACCCCTGTGGCTTCTGCTTTACTTCCTCATGTCTCCCTCCCCCAGGCTGCGTGTCCCTCTGGTCCCTCACTCTGCTGGCCTACGAGCGGCGCCTGGTGGTAACCCACGGCTGTTCGATGAGGGGCGGGTGGCCCCGTGCCCGCCGAGGCCTGGCCTTCGTGTGGGCCTTCTGCCTCGTGTGGGCCGTGGCGCCGCTGCTCGGATGGAGCGCCTACGGGCCCGAGGGCGTTCAGACGTCCTGCTCCATTGCCTGGGAGCGGCGCTCACTCAGCAACTACACGTACCTGGTGCGTGGGGGAAGACATGTGAGGAAGCGTGGGGGGGGGGGGGGGGGAAGAGTCGGTGGGGGCAGCAGGGGAGGGGTGCTTTGGGAAAGTAGAACATGGGGGAAGCACAGGTGGAGTACTGGGGAAGTAGTGGGGAAGCACAGGTGGAGTATTGGGGAAGCACAGGTGGAGTATTGGGGAAGCACAGGTGGAGTATTGGGGAAGCACAGGTGGAGTATTGGGGAAGCACAGGTGGAGTATTGGGGAAGCACAGGTGGAGTATTGGGGAAGCACAGGTGGAGTATTGGGGAAGTAGTGGGGAAGCACAGGTGGAGTATTGGGGAAGCACAGGTGGAGTATTGGGGAAGCACAGGTGGAGTACTGGGGAAGTAGTGGGGAAGCACAGGTGGAGTACTGGGGACGCACAGGTGGAGTACTGGGGACGCACAGGTGGAGTATTGGGGAAGCAGTGGGGAAGCACAGGTGGAGTATTGGGGAAGCAGTGGGGAAGCACAGGTGGAGTACTGGGGAAGCAGTGGGGAAGCACAGGTAGTGTACTGTGGAAGCAGTGGGGAAGCACAGGTGGTGTACTGGGGACGCACAGGTGGAGTACTGGGGACGCACAGGTGGAGTACTGGGGACGCACAGGTGGAGTATTGGGGAAGCACAGGTGGAGTACTGGGGACGCACAGGTGGAGTATTGGGGAAGCAGTGGGGAAGCACAGGTGGAGTATTGGGGAAGCAGTGGGGAAGCACAGGTGGAGTACTGGGGAAGCAGAGGGGAAGCACAGGTGGTGTACTGGGGAAGCAGTGGGGAAGCACAGGTGGTGTACTGTGGAAGCAGTGGGGAAGCACAGGTGGTGTACTGGGGAAGCAGAGGGGAAGCACAGGTGGAGTACTGGGGAAGCAGAGAAGCACAGGTGGTGTACTGGGGAAGCACAGGTGGTGTACTGTGGAAGCAGTGGGGAAGCACAGGTGGTGTACTGGGGAAGCAGAGGGGAAGCACAGGTGGTGTACTGGGGAAGCAGTGGGGAAGCACAGGTGGAGTACTGGGGAAGCAGTGGGGAAGCACGGGTGGAGTACTGGGGAAGCAGTGGGGAAGCACAGGTGGAGTACTGGGTGGGGAAGTAGTACCCACCCATGTGTATTCTCAGGTTTCGTACTTCCTGGCATGCTTCGTGCTCCCGGTCTCCATCATCGTCTTCTCATACGGAAACGTTCTCTGCTCCTTGCACACGGTAATCCGCCCCCCCCCCTTCCCAAGGACTCCAACACAGCCCCCCCCCTCACACCACACCTCCACCATGGTTAACATCCAATGTGACAACTGTCGTACGGGAGGAGCTATAGTCGGGCATGGTGGCGTAGTACGCCTGTGATCCGTCAACCCTTTTGAGAAACCTTCCCCTCCCCCTCCCAAATGTTATCCCGATTGTTCTCGCGGTGTCGATATGGAGAGCCCATCGGGAGCTCTCGCAGAGCAGCGAGACGCTGCGTTCCAGCGGTGCGTCCCAGCCTCCCGTGGTCCTTGGGCCACTGTGTGGGCCACGCCGCCTCCGAGAGCAGTGGTCCATGGAACTGTTCCAGCATTTGACCCGCTGACAAAACTTGAAGGTCTGCCACTGCTCCCCTGGTCCAGAGAGGTTGGGAACCAACTTTAGATTCTAGAGAACGGCCCACGCAAGTGAACATCACAGAGCTACGTCTTTCAAAAATCTCTGGTCCAAATGGTTGGGATGGTAAAACTCTCTCACCTGCCCTGCATATGGAACCTTTTTTAGTAAAATTGAGTGTGGAACCAAATTTAATGTGCCGTCATTGTGTTTTTGTGCAGTCATTGATGACCGGGCTTGGGTCAGAGGGAGGTGACTCCCAAACCTTGCTCCCCCCCGCACCCTCCCCCCTCCCCTATTTAAAGCCTCCTCTGCCGTCTCCCCGCCAGTTGAACAAGAAGATTAAGCGCGTGGGCGGGCACCCAGACCCGCGGGAGGAGATGCGGGCCACGGTGATGGTGCTGGCCATGGTGGGCGCTTTCTTGGCGTGCTGGTTGCCTTACACGGTGCTGGCGCTCTGCGTGGTGCTCGCACCGGGCACGCAGATCCCGCCGCTGGTTGCAACGCTGCCCATGTACTTCGCCAAAACGAGCCCCATCTACAACCCGATCATCTACTTCTTCCTCAACCGCCAAGTGAGCTCTGCATCAAACCACACACAGTGGTGCATTTTGTTCAACCGGGCGAGAACTCAAGAGAAACCTGGGTAGTGCCTTTGGTATCGGAGCTGTTGCATTACGGAGGGTGCCATAGAGAACCAAGGTGACACCGTGTTTCACAGACACGATTGCAGTGGTTTCGCAGTTGGGGGGGCAATGTTGTTTGTGTGTTCTCCAAATTCTAATATTACTGCACTTAATTTTTTCGGAATATGCAAATTTGGACCATTCTATTTTATTCCTGCGTATGGCAATATCCATAATAAAGGTTTTTTTGGGTTAGATCGCGTAAAATATGTGTCGTTAAACTCGCCGCCACCCGACACAGCCAATTAGTAAAGTTTATCACGTAAACAGAAGGTGCCAATTCGTTACTAGTACACAACATTTACAAATCCACAACATTTACAATCTGAGTACTCCAATACACCGTTACACTGTACTAGTAACGAATTGGCACATTCTGTTTAGTGACAAACCTTAATAATTGGCTGTCAGGTGGCGGCGGGTTTAACGACACATTTATATATTTACGCGATCTAACCCAAAAAACCTATATTATGGATATTGGTCGTGAAAGCCTACATGTATGACAATATGTTCAGCAGATTGTTGCCAACGTCGGGGTCTGCTGGCCACGACGAGAGGGCTTCAGGAGCGAGGGCTCGTGTCGTTTTGCTAACCCTCCCTGTTGGGACGTTGTTAATTTGAACCCAGATGTTTTGACCGTGACGCTGGCATGAGGCCTGCTCATTTTAAAACACCACGTGATCTTGAAACTCCACTGTGAGCCAGACGGTTAGCGCCCCCGCAGTATCGGCCAGGGCGTTGCGATGCCATCGCCCCCCAAGAGGCTCGTCAGTGTTTAACAATCACTAGATTACTCAGTGTCGCCACTACCCTCCTGTTGGTGCCATTGGCCCCTCAAGAGGCTCATCTTCCTTCAAGTGCAGTCACTCCCAGACCAGGGCTCCCACACCTCGACACCAGAGCTCCGTTTAGCCATCGCTCTCAGCAACACCAGCTCGCAATATCTGAACCCCCACTCCCCCCACACCATTTCACCCGCGGGGTGCTCACTGTGGTCGTCCCTTCGTCTCTGTGCAGTTCCGTGCCTGCGCCGTGGAGTTTGTGACGTGCGGCGCTGTGAAGCTCAACGAGCCCACGGACGAAAGTGCCCCACCGCCGCCTGCCGACACCGTCATGCCGCCGGGCCCAACGCCCCCGCGGCACAACCAGATCAGCCCGGCCTGAGGCTGGCGACCCCCGGGCGGCAACGGCTTAGAGATAGAAGAGTTAGACCTCCGAAGGATTTGGACCGCAGGGTCAGAATGCTCTCCGATACGACGCCACACGTTCCACTCACTGAGGACCGAATAGGTCAGATTAGTGAATATCTGTAGAAAACCAGTTACACCCAGTGCACAATACTACACTGGGCGTGGGGGGTGATCGCTCAGGGTAGATACTTGAAGGTCGGATATAAGACGTTGTACTCTTATATGATTTAACCTCTCCTCCATCAAGTATGTCGTTACATTATACATCGCTTCTGACCCTGGGGTACAAATGCCACGAGTCAAAATACTTTTCTTTGCCACCGGCGGCGGCAGCAGCACTTTGACAGCCGTAGTAAGAGTGCAGTAGAGGCTGAGCACCATGCACACACGCATGCACATACAAACACACACACACACACGCACACAGACAGGCGCCTTTATGTTCACGCACAGATTTATTAGTGAGCGGCAGCGAGGATGGTACCAATACGGCACGGGGAAAGTGGCGACTCCCTCCCGGTGTGAGGGGAAGGGGCGACTCACAGCCCGGCCCCCTCGGCCAACGTGGTCACCCAGGAGTTGGAGTCGCGCTTTATCTTCTCAAACTCTGGGGGATGGGGGCGGAAGTGGGGGGACGTCGTGAGTGGTCGTAGCACCAGGAGACAATAAACGCACCCTTGCAGACAACGCTGTGCGCCACCGCTGCGTGTGTCACTGCTGCGTGTGTCACTGCTGCGTGTGCCACTGCCGCGTGTGTCACTGCCGCGTGTGTCACTGCCGCGTGTGTCACTGCCGCGTGTGCCACTGCCGCGTGTGTCACTGCTGCGTGTGTCACTGCTGCGTGTGTCACTGCTGCGTGTGTCACTGCCGCGTGTGTCACTGCCGCGTGTGCCACTGCCGCGTGTGTCACTGCTGCGTGTGCCACTGCTGCGTGTCACTGCTGCGTGTGCCACTCCTGCGTGTGTCACTGCTGAGTGTGTCACTGCTGCGTGTGCCACTGCTGCGTGTGTCACTGCTGCGTGTGTCACTGCTGCGTGTGCCACTGCTGAGTGTGTCACTGCTGCGTGTGCCACTGCTGCGTGTCACTGCTGCGTGTGTCACTGCCGCGTGTGTCACTGCTGCGTGTGCCACTCCCGCGTGTGTCACTGCTGAGTGTGTCACTGCTGCGTGTGCCACTCCCGCGTGTGTCACTGCTGAGTGTGTCACTGCTGAGTGTGTCACTGCTGCGTGTGTCACTGCTGTGTGTGTCACTGCTGAGTGTGTGACTGCTGCGTGTGTGACTGCTGCGTGTGCCACTGCTGCGTGTGTCACTGCTGCGTGTGTCACTGCTGCGTGTGTCACTGCTGAGTGTGTCACTGCTGCGTGTGTCACTGCTGCGTGTGTCACTGCTGCGTGTGTCACTGCTGCGCGTGCCGCTGTCTTACCCACGCTGTGCTCCGTGCGCTGAGCCCTCCGTGTGTCGTGCATGGCGTGGATCTCGCGGCACTCGGACAATATCCGCGCTTGCGCATCAGCCGCCTGCTCCACCGCCATCAACACCATCAACAACATCATCAACATCATCAGCAATGGCACCAATATCAACATCAACACCACCAGTGCCACCATTAGCTACCACTATGGCTGGCACCATTGGGAGCCCAAGCTGCAATAGACGTTTGGTGCCAGCGCTCCTCCTCACCTGCGCCAGCGAGCCCAGGTGCGCGTGCAGCTCGTGCAGCAGGGGGCCCAGGCGGGAGGGCACGGCTGGGGGCGAGCGGCTGCAGACCAGCGGCGCCGGCAGGCGGAGCTCGCCCTCACTCAGCGAGCAGAACTCAGCGGCGAGACGCTGACACTCGCGCAGGGCGAGGGTCAAGGCCTGCAGGGTGGCCTCCTGTGTCGCCCCCTCCTGTGTCGCCCCCTCCTGGGCCCCAGGAGGCACGGTGTGCGATGGTGCAGCTTGCCTGGCCTGCAAAAGGGAACAATGACAAAGATCCCCCGTTTAGCATTTACACAGATAGTGGGGGCAAGTGTTGTTAGCGAGCACCTATGAAGGCCGGCGCAGCACACGAGGGTGGCTAGAACCCACCCTACCGCCTTTGTCTCCCTCGTCGCTTTATTTACACACCACACTGGGTACTCATTTGAGACCGAGTTGACCTAGGGGAGGCCCAGGACCGGTTTATATATTCTTCACCAATGTTGGTCTTCACCGATGTTGGAATCAGACTCGAGTCACTGTGTTTGTAGCACAGCGTGCTAACCACTAATGCGCAGCCACAGACACATGCACACATTTCTGTGCACCCACACGGCACCTGCAGCTGCTGCTGCAGCTGTCGTTGCAGCTGCGTCAGTGCCCGCGTCTCCTCCTCCCGCTCCTGCTGCAGGGCGTCTCTTCGCTGCTGCAGGTCCTGCAGCTGTTCCTCCTCTTCTTCTTGCTGCTGCTGCCTGCGGAAGAAGTCCACACATTACATTGAAGTCCACATTACATTTGCAATGACACGGCCCAGCAATAGCACGTTCGCTGCTTGTCGCAGAGGTCTACGGTTCGAATCCAGCGGCCGCTCTGGTTATTACTAAGAGTTGACGTTAAAGATCCCGTGACGCCATTCACAAGAGTAGGCCGCTGTGTGCTGGCATCACGGTTAAAATTTGAAGAATCACCACAAATCACTCAATATGTTGCAACTATCGCCCCCGTACTGCTATAATTTGGCAGGACCCTCCTAAAAATGAGTCAGTGGCGGCTGTTCAGGGTAAATAAGAGCAAGAATAATAACATGATTGTGGTATTGTACTATACGAGACCGTGGTGGTGGTGCAGTCACTGCGACTGGTGCGACGCTCACTGCAGCGTGCCGAGTGTGGTGCCGCCACTGCCACCACGATGCTCCAGCAAGGGGGGCAGCCCCAGTGTCATCGGGCGCCCAGTCGCCAGCACCCCCAGCAGCTGCCCGGTGCTCAGCTCCGCCGTGAACCAGCGTGACGCCAGTACGTGGCTCTGCAGGGCAGAGTCCTCACCCGTGGCACTGCAACGACATGGGGAGCAGGAGAGCATGGAGAGGGGCAGGATGATTAAGGGAGGAGGAGGAGAACACGGAGAGGAGGATGGCACGGGGAGGATGAGAATGAGGGCATGGGGAGGAGAACGTGACAAGAAGGTTAACATGGGGAGGAGCAGGACATGGGCAGGGGTGGGGGGAGAAAGAAGATATCGGGGAACACATCTTAATCAGACACAAAACATTTAGGAGCGACAGGTAGAGGGATAAGTGGATACACAAGTAGGGAAAGACATAGAAAGGGAATGCCACAAGGAGAGACATGGGGAGGACAAAGGGAGACAGGGAGGATGACACACAGGGAGACACGGATATAGACACAGGAAGGAACACACCTTTCTGTGCGCTCCTTGCTGTGGATGAGCTGCAGCAGCCGCCTGTAGAATTCCTGCTGCCGAGATACATCAGCTGTGCCCTGGAATTAGAGAGCACACACTTTACACAAATATCACTCGTATTGCCTTAACAGGCATTTGGGGCAAGTGCCGTTAGCGAGCATCTATGAAGGCCGGCACGACGCACGAGGGAGTGCTGATGTTTACACACAGCACCAGGTATTCATTAAGGCTGAGTTGACCTAGGGGAGGCCCAGGACTGGTTCAGATATTCGTTACCGATGTTGGCCGTGAGTGGGGATCGAACTCGGGTCACTGGATTCATAGTACATTGCTCTATCCATACTGTGTGCGGTGTGTGTGTGGTGTAGTGTGGTGTGTGTAGTGTAGTGCAGTGTGTGCCGGATGGGTTCTCACCGAGACGCTTTCCACGTCGTCACCGGCGCAAAGTCCCAAGAGCTCGCCGAACCCGGCCAGCTCTAAGACGCGGCAGAGCAAGCCGATGGTTACCACCAAACAAAACAACACCGAGATCAGAAGCTAACATTGCCTCTGGTTGGCGAGGCCGTTGGGGCTGGGGTGGTAATGTTGGTAAGGATGGAGTAGTGAAAGTGATGAGGGGTGTAAAGATAATGGTGGAGTGGTGAGATGGCGTAGTGAGTGCTCAGCATGGTGAAGTGGGGTGGCGAGGATGAGGTGGTCAGGATGGGGTGGGAAGCACAGTATGGAGTGGTGAGGATGGAGTGATGAGGTGGTGAAGGGAAGTTCGATGCCCTCAGGGCTCCACTCACGCCGGAGTCTGGGGTCAGAGGTCGGCGTGGAGGGGACAGCAATGGGCAGCAGATCAATCTTCTCCCGGAACTTTCTGTGAACCCTGGGTTTGGGGTCAGGAGTCACAAGTGCAGAAATCATGGGATCAGAGGTCAACGCCAACAAACTCGTCTACTCGGCCTCAGGCTTCACCTATAATCATAATCCTCACCACTCCATCCTCACCAACCTCAGCACTGACCAGCATGCTTAGCATGGCAGATGCGACATCGCCCCCTGAAGCCATGTGACTGCTGGGTCAGTGGTGAGGATGGAGTGTTGAGTGGTGAGGATGGAGTGGTGAGGTGGGTGAGGATGGAGTGAATGGAGTGGTGAAGATGGAGGTGGTGAAGATGGTAACCTCATGATTTCACCTGCAGAACAGGAACTGCAAGAGGCGGGTGCGGATTTCGCTGGGAGTGAAGAGCAGAGACTCGTCCCCGTCCCAGCCCTGTAGCAGCGGGCAGTCAAGGGCCTGGGGACATGGGGAGACACACGGAGATGGAGACAAGGGGATATGGGAAAGACAGACACTGGGACATGGAGACACACACTGGGACATGGAGACACACACACGTGGAGACGGGGACGTGGGGATAGGGGCCTCTGAAATAAAATTTCTCTGAATCTGGGTCACCTCTTCTGAACCTGGTAAACCTGGCAAAAAATATCATATATATTTTTAAGTGATTTGTTTACCTTTCCTATACTAATTGGTCCACACCAGAGACAGTTTTCTTTTGAGCCTCGTCTCAAACGGTGTTAGCTGTCTGGTGTGGGCCAATCAGTTTCAAAGGCAATGCATCATATTATCAGGGTATGTTTTTTATTTGCATTCTGACCACAAGTATTGTGGTTAATGCAGACATGATTCATTGTTAAAGGTGTTTTTTGTTGCCAGAAAAAAGGGGAAAAAAACTATTCTCAGCTTTATAGCTTATCGGATTCCTCCAGTCAAAATAAATATTATAAATCGTGCGTCGCACGTCCTCTGCTCCCTCCACTGCTGCTGCTGCCGTTTTAAGAACGCGTCTGACCCCACATTTAAAAACATGCATTGATATGATTTAGATTATTTTGCTGCTCAAACTATCCAAATGATGGGCCACTTTGTTGAGCTATCATTAGTGGCCAGGTCGCTTCTAAAAATAAGTAAATACCTCAGTGGGCTTTGCCTCGTAGGATGATGGTTTAGTTGTATTCGTGTAATGACTTGACAAACTTCTCTTGAGATGGTACTTTATTGAAGACGCGTTCACTTGACTTCAGGCGAAGACCCCCACCGCAACAGCCCCGAGTCTGCCGCGCATCTCCCCCTTATATACCAACACGAGGCCACGCCCCCCTTCTCGATCCTTCTCGCTGACTCTAGACGCTCGCTCCACCGGCAGACTCCACCGTCCCCTTCCGTCGCCTGACCACGCTCCCTTTCTTGATCACTTCCGTAGCCACGAGTCCCTTCGCGCTCACGACTGATACCCCTGTCATTACCTAACGTGGCCACGAGTCCCTTCGCGCTCACACCTGATACCCCTGTCATTACCTACCGTGGCCACTAGTCCACTCACACCGCATGCAGGCTCGATTGTCATTACATTTGTGCGTGTTTGGGTGATTTGTTTACCTTGATTTGAAGCTGTCGTGGCTGCAGGAATCCACTCTTTGGTTCTTACGGTAAAGTCACGTAGGTAGAAAATTAATAGATGACATTTCGATCGCAACACAAGCGACCGTCTCACCTGAAGACGGTGGCTTGTGTTGCGATCGAAACGTCATCTATTAATTTTATACCTACGTGACTTTACCGAAAGAACTAAGAGTATGATTTGTTTACCTTTGTACTTTTCACGACTATCAAATTGTATTTTTGTTGTTATTGTAACGTTCTTACCCGTCCCTACTGGACATCTGTGAAAAAGAGCTTTTTAGATCATTGGATTCCTCCAATATAAATAAAGTTTCAGATTCTACTTCACAAACCTCTGCTGCCCCCCCCCCCCAATTCTGTTGTAGAAATTCACGGTTCGATTTCAGCGGCTGCCCCGGTTATTACTGCGGTGTATTACAGCGGGCGTTAAAAGATCCCCTGGGGACATTCTCAAGAGTTGGGCTCGTTGTGTGTCGAGGTTTGCCAAACTCGCAAAATAAAACCGCAGAACTGATTTGAATGGGGATGACACACCCAGCAGCGAATATGGCCCTCTTCCCCTGCCTCTTAATGTCAGCAGCCTCATGCCGACCCCTGCCGGGCCCCAAGGTGACTAATGACTCCTTCCGGATTCTGTCAACCCCTCCTTGTCAGTGCCCTACCTTGTTACAGACCCAATTCAGACCTTATTGGTCACCCCGTGCCCTTATAAATCTCAACGTGCATCCTACAAAGTGCCATCGCAAGGGAGAAACACAAAGACGCGTTGTTTTGCCCGTATTGAAACGGCTGCACGCCGTATGGACCTGCAAACTCAATGTCCCTGTACAAGAACACGGGGCAATAAACCGTGTGGGTCGACGCGTTTACCCACCCTGGTCTCTTGCGCTCTCCACCCAGTCAGACAAAACAACACCGATCCCTGCTCGCCGTGTTTCCCATAGCCATGGCCCTGCTGCCCCCCACGCCTTCTCTCTCCCCTGCCCCACTCCACAACCCGTGCCCCCTCCCACCCCGTGCCCCCCCCCCTACCCCGTGCCCCCCACCCCGTACCTCTATCTCGTCTCGTATCGCGCCTCCCGCCTCCCCCTCCATGCCGCCGCTGCCGCTGTTAGCGGCGCGCGCGTCGCTCAAATTAACGCGGGAAACTCGGGGTGCGTGGAGGAGTCGACATGCAGCACGGCTTTCCTCTTCCCCTCTCCTTCGTTGCCCTGCCAACACGGACTGTTGTATTTCAACCCGAACCCCACGGTACCGTATTAGACAACCCCCACACTGGGTGGTTGCACTCCCCACTGCAGTTATTTTTTCCCTGTTGCAGCACGCGGTGCAACGGTAACACATTTAACGCGGTGCATGCTCGCGTCGCGGGCCAGCTCCGCGGCGACGTCATTTTTCACAATTGAAATCCGGTGACGTAACCGCACGGGCCGTCATTCAACTCGGTGACGTCACCACGTCGGGGTCCTGCCAGCTGGATGGCGTCACTACACCAGGTGCTGTCAATCGACTCAATGACGTCGGCACATCTTGTCACCAACAGCCACGGTCAATCCACTGCTGGATGAAGGAGTCGAGCCGTCAGCGTCCTACGCGGTCCTGCGATGTAACAAGCTGCCCAGCGACCTTAAAACAATCGCTCCATCTCTACAGCGGATGTCCCATTGGGCCTTCCCTCACTTGACTGCCAATTCGTCATTTACGTGCTTTGGCAAAGGGCCATTGCCTGAAACGTTGCCTATTGTATATTTTTCCTATTTGAGGTAGCGTTATTGACGAACATGTTTAGTTTTGTTCGTTTAACACGTAGACTTTCGCGACCAATATCCATTTTAAAGGTTTTTTTGGGATAGATCGGGTAATTAATGCCGTTAAACCCGGCACAGACAATTGGGAAGGTTTGCCACGTAAACAAGACGTGCCGATGAGCTCAGCACACCGATACGTTGGAGAGTAAACCCACACGTACAATTCGAGTACGATGTTTCCCTGGCGATTACAACCAGCTTCGTCAGGCGGTTCGCCGTAATTGTGAATAAGTCTTCCTATTCTGGTCTGAAATCGAGTAGAGGTGATATCATCACCGAGTTTCGTTGTGCTTGGGGACGGCTGCCAGAAGCTTTTGCAAAAAAAATATCGCGACTTTGCTCAGGGTCAACATTTCCTGGCTTATTCTTCACTCACGATATTAACAAAAAGGGTACAGAGCTACTGCAGCAGCACCGCCCGAGAACTTTTATTTCAACTCAACTGCACAATGGACGCGCTGTGAAGCACACGACGAGGTGGTCGCCCTCTACCCCCCGAGCGTGGCACCCCCCCCCCCCCGCACCCACTCGACAGGTCGCGTCGCAGGGACAGCGCGGGTCGGAGCTGTGACGCAATCGTACCCCACACCGTGCAGGTTGCCCAATGACGTCACCGTGAACGTCGTCAGTAAACATGGTGACTTCGGGCTTCAAATCCTTAAAGTTCATCTGATCATGTCACCGCTACAGGTGATGCCGCTCAATCCCATGGCATTGCTTTGAGTGCTTGACGGTAAACCCCATGACATAACTGCTTCAAACGGTAAGTCCATGACGTGACCGATCACAACGTTGTCACTTAACTCAGTGACATCACTGCGACAGGTGCCGGCGATCGGTTCAATGTCACAGCTCTACGTCCTCCTCGTACACGCGATGACTTCGCCACTTGACGCATCGTCAAATGCTATGTCACAGCATTAAGAGCTGGTAATCAACCCAAATACGTAATTGCTGAACGTTTCCTTGTAACCGTAAACAGAAAGACGCCGACACTTCGCGTGTTCAGGTTGGCGCAATGACATCGCTGCTTAACTCGGCGTCAAAACTCCACGACATCGCTGCTTAACGAGCCATCGGTCCACTCGCTACAGCACCGCTGCCTCCCGCTTTGGAGATATTTTATGACCTATGACCCAGGTGACGTCGATGCAAGGCGGGGGGGGGCGTGACAATCGACGCTCGTAGCTCCAGGAGGTCATGTGACCTCCATGTCGTCATCCACGTGGCTGTGCTGCTCGCTGGTCACGTGAGGATTGAAGCAGAGTCCTTCCAGGGCAGCCTCTGGGAGTCAACGAGAGATGGGGTCACACAAAGACCAGAGCCACAATATCTGTTCGGTAATCAACCACTACCGATTATCAGTTCGATTAATTGCAGAACACAAAAATCACTCTGTTTTCACAGTTGCCACTGGACAGGTGGCGATGGTTGGGTATAATGAACGCCATTGGCATCACCTGCTGCGTGGTTTGTAGGGCGTTTCCCGCCTTCGGAGCGTAAAATATGGAGGCAACCGACCTTATTAAAGGGCCCCAAGTGATCGACCACAAAACAAATAATAACGTAGTCGTTTGATCGATTTAATTCGGTAATCAGCTGAGGTAGAGTGATGATTACCGGAAGGACAAAGTTTTTATCCTAAAGTCATAACAGAATTTTGGGAAATTCCTCTCTGACCCCTGACCTGTGCGAGACCTCACCATCAGCAGGCCCATAGTCAGGCAGCAGACTCTGGAGGAGGAGACCACTCCGCAGGCAGCGGGTGGCCTCCACGAATGGGTGAGCCGCGTCTTGCAGGAGGCTCCAGAAACGCCCGTCATCGGGGCCGGCCGACAGCGCGCAGAGGCCCCACACGAGCTCGCGCATCACCCGGCCCGTCCGGCGCTCCTTGCAACCGGACAGCGGCGCTACCCAGCGAGTCGCGCCGCCCACGTAGCACATGGGCTCCCGCACCGAGAGCCAGGCGCGGTGCAGCGAAAGCGCCAGCGCCTTCCCCACCTGCACCACCACCACCACAACAAAACACCACCGCGACAGCACGCGGAGCATCACGGCGCGATATCTTGCGGGGCGGCGTGGCACGGATGTGCCCTGCGGCATCACGCTCGCGAGCCGTGCGTGCGTCGGCAACATATCTGCGTTTGCGTGAAGTCGTGTTTGTCCTTGTGACGAGTTGTGTTTGTGCTACGTGACATTTGCGCCGAGTCGCACTACTGCCGTCACCTCGTGTGAGCAGGAGCAGGGGGAGGCGAGGAGCTGCGGCACCAGCCCCGCCTCTGCCATGGCACCCACCACCCGCGCCAGCTGTACCCATGTGCACAGCCATGTACACACACACAAAGATATATATACAAGACAAAGACCCTCCGTACAATAGCCTGAATAGATTTTTATGGTAAGTGCTGTTATCGAGCACCTATGAAGGCCGGCACGGTACACGCCTAGCTGCCAGTGCAATGTTTGCACATCGCACCAGGTCCTCATTTGCGGCTGAATCGATCTCGGTCAAGCCCAGAGCTAGTTCAGATAATTACCACTGATGTTGGTGGCCGTGGGCGGGAATTGAACTCGGATTGCTGGGTTCATAGCACAGCATGCTAACTATTGCACTACCGCTATGCATGCATACACAACAATGTAGGTGCACACAGGCACACACACACACTGAGGCACACTTCAATAAAAACCATCATTCTTAAGCACCAGGGTTCTTGTGCCAGGCTAGAAGCACTTTCAGGCTGTCATGTAAAGTATGGAACGTTCACTGGCAGGTGATCACAGAACAGACCCAGGTGTTATGAGTGAATGCGTATAAATGCCCGACAGATGCACCACCTGCACTCCCCACTGTGACGACTCTCTTGGCTTTGCTGCCCAGCGCTCTGCTCATTATTGTATGCGTCTTTCATGCACCCTTTCTGTTGGTACTTGTCATAAAATAGTGCATTTAGCTCCAAATCCCCCTGTTATCGTACTAGCTCAGCTCTTTATAGCAAGTGCCACACGTGGGCACACTGTGATTGATCATGTGGGCTACATGACCCTGCCAACTCAACTTTGTCTACCAGAGCCCAGTGATAGAACTATGTCCAGATCATTAAAGGCACGATGAGCACCTCGCACAATCCAGTCTGGTTAAACCCAAGATGGATTTGTAGGGAGGCCATTTTCCAACTGGTGTAGGCATTCTTGTCAAGGGGCGTATTTTGCACATTTATAAAGGAGAGAGGGGATGCATGTGGCTGAGGAGACCCAGAGCTCCGTGTGGAGCAACAGGCCAGCCAGGCAGCTTCCAGACAGCGTGATGTAACCAATGAAAAGATAATGCTAGACGAATGATTCGAAGTTCTCTGCTGCCAAACCACACGCGCACACAGGCATCCAAATATGCACACATGCATATACATGCAAGCATATGCACACTCGGGAACACACACATGCACACTCACCAACGCACCCACACGGATGGAGCCATGCACACATAAATGACAAAGACGGCACATACATGCAAGCACAACAAAGAAGCAGATTCCCCTATTGCTTTGACAGGCTTTTGGGGCAGTACTATTAGTGTGCACCTATGAAGGCCAACACAGCACATGAGGAAATGGTATGTCCAGTACCACGCTTGGCCACCTTTGTCTCCCCAGGACTGGTTCAAATATTCGTCACCGATGTCGATCGTGTCCTGGCATTGAATTCGGGTTGCCGGGTTGGCAGCGCAGTGCGCTAACCACTTCGTGTAAGCAACAACAGCAGCAGCTACCATTCGCACCTAGTTGGCAGTGACATCACCACAGCGCTTGTTCCAGGCTAAGTACACTTTGAGGCCACGCGAGGTGTCGAAGGCTTGGTGCCAGGAGGTCACGGGGATAGATCCAGGTGTTATGGGTTGACTGAGACGACTGGCAGAACTGCACGTAGGCGCACACACAGCACTAAAGACGTGAGCCCTCTCTGCATGTGCGTGCGTGCCCACAGGATGGCGCCGGCTGCCTCACCTGCAGCTGGAGATGGAGCCAGGCGTCGGGGTGAGGCTCGGAGCCCCGGGGCCCCCGATCACACACGTACGTGCACACGTGCAGCAGCGTGCAGTGGTCTTCGTAAACGCACACGCATGCGCCCGCACATACACGCGCACAAACAAGCATAAACGCACGGATGCACCCTCATGCGCGAACGCGCATGTGCACACAAGCACACAATAACAAAAATACCCCTGTACAATGAAACCTTGAATTACGAGCATAATTCGTTCCAGAAACGTATTTCAAAGCAAATTTCCCCATAATAAATAATGGACACTCAGATGATTCGTTCCACAACCCAAAAATATAAAAAAAATGATTAATACAAAATACTGTACCTTTTTATATTTTTATTTATATTTAATATAAAGTAATCAAATGTATTCATTAAATTTAATCGTGGCTGGTATGAGGGAGACGAGAGAGGAGGAGGAGGGTTATTGTGTAGGACGACTTTCACTGTGACTAACGGAATCATTGCCATCTGTTCGCTCACTGGAATATTTTTCTTTTTGTGCGACTTTAACAAGGAACCTATCCAATGACACTTGCTTTTGCCTCCTTCTTCTTACCGCCGTCTTTTTCAACATTTTTCTTCATGGGGGCCATTGTTGCAGTACAGTTACTAAAGAACAGTCACTACACTTGGACACAAAATGAAAAAATGCTTTACGCACACACACGTGGTCACAACACTATACTGTAATATACAGTATACACGTGGTCATAACACTATAGTACTGTAGTAAACAGTATACACGTGGTCACAACACTATAGTACTGTAGTAAACAGTATACGCTCGCACGGATGTTGACTATACGAGTGAGGCACGCCGACTGAGACCGAGCTTGGGAGATGATTACCCACAATCCCGCAGCGAGAGAGAGAAGAACCATTGGCTCAGTTGTGATCACGTGACGCTCGGCAGACAAAGCGTATATTGTACGTAACTGCTCGTATTGCAAGACATCGCTCGTTTAACAATTAATTAATTATTTGAAATTTTGCTCGTCTTGCAAAACACTCGCAGACCAAGTTACTCGCAATCCAAGGTTTCACTGTATAGCCTTTAACAGACTGTTGGGGCAAGTGCTGTTTGCGAGCACCTATTAAGGCCAGCACAGCACACGACGGGGTGGGTGGCAAACACCATTCCCAGCCGCCTTTGTCTCCTCAGTGCTAATGTTTACACACTGCACCAGATACCGATTTGAGGCTGAATCTACCTAGATGAGGCCCAGGAGTGGTTAGAAATATTTTCCGTGATGTCGTGAGTAGGAATCGAAATCGGGTTGCAGGGAATCGTAATGCAATGTGCTAACCACTACACTACCGCTTCCCAATCTGCAATACACACCACGCACACAAATTCACACACTCGTACACCTCACACACTCTGCAGGATAGGGAGAAAACATACAAACTGCAACATAGAAAGGCGCCCAAGTCGGGAATGGAACCCGGGCCATCTTTGCTGCGCTACACAGGCGTTACCACGTTCAGGCCACTGCATACACCAGGAGGGTGAATGTCATTTCTCATCGCCTACACTTGACGGTGACGTCGCCGCTTCACTGACGACGTCACGGCCCACACCTCCACAAATTCAAACACCTGGTGCACCTAACCCCATGACTCCGTGGCCCTGTGACCCAATGACTCCAACGACCTCTCACCTGACCCGCAGCCAAGAAGGGAGAGGGCGCGGGGCTGGCAGCACACCGCGGTGAGGATCCGTGTGACCTGGAGCACCGTGCTGGGAGGAGTCTTCACGGTGATGCAGCGCGCCAGCCGCCCGCTCCCCTCTAGCGCCAACAGCAGGCTGCACCATCACACGGCAACATTACAATCACGGCATCATCGCAGTCACATCACCATGCAGCTAAACATTATGATGATATGGTCATCATCTTGGCAACATTACTGAAACATTACCAGCGTCATGGCAACATCATAATCATGGCAATATCAGCCTATCCTGGCAATTCCATCATGGCATTACTACCTTCAAAGAATGATCACCGTCACAGTAGACCTGTGATCAGTTATAACTGCAAGTTCCAGCAGCACTGTTACAATTTCAATTACGTTTCTCTTTAAATTATTTAAAAACTGCACATTTAGAGTAATTGACTCAAGACTTTATTTCAGCTGGTAAGGGCCATTGGAACTCCATATTAGACCCCAGGTCTGCCTGACAGCACCACTGCCATCACAGCAACATGTCATCGTTCCCATCGCAGCACCATCTGCATCACAGCCCTGGTGCCATCACCTCATTATTAGGGAAGTGGGTGTGTGCGCTTGTGGTTCAGGGAAAGTGCGTGCGGTTAGGACCCTGTGCCGTCACCTCTCCGTGAGGTTGCCGTGGCGATTCTCTGCCAGCTGAGCCAGCACCCGCAGGACGGTGCAGACGATCGCCTCCCGCTGCCCTCGCCCGGGACCCCCCAGCAGCCCCGCCCCCCCTCCCCTGCTCCGCACAGCCCCCGTTCGCTCCAAGCCATCACCACACGGCTTCAGCACCTGCACCAGCCTCTTCAGCAGGGGGTGAGGTGCGCCTGGGTCCCCCACTATTTTTCCCAAGGCCCCCTTCTCCCGAACCGGGCCCCCTTCCGTCTCGGGTTCTTGAGGCAACGGCGACAACGCCTTGGCGATGGGGGCGGGCGCGCCGGCGAGGAGGGCAAGGAGCGTCTTCAGTGCCGCCTCCGCCTCCTCCTCCAGCACCAACGCGTCCACCGCCGCAGCCGCTGCTGCCTCGGCATCCGTTTCCATAGCAACCACGACCGGCTCCTCGCCAGGCCTGGATCGGGAGGTGAATCGGGCCAAGGCGGCATCGGCGTAGCGGCCCAGCCGCAGCTCGATGAGCGGCAGGAAGTGCGACAATATTTCGGCCTCACGACCTACGATGCCCCACTCCAACAGGTCTCCGTCAATGCCACGCGGGCCGGTCGGTCCTGAAGTCCGAGATCTGCTGAGTGGGCTGGCAGGGCCGGTGGGGTGCAGCAGCCGGGAGAGGCCGTTCAGGGAGAGCACCAAAGCGGAGCGGACATCGCCGGGGTTGTCATGACCATCGGCATCGGCAGAGACCGCACCTCCTCCTCTCCTGGCGTAAAAAGGGTGGTGGTGGGAGGTTACAAAAGCTATGTCGTGTATGTGCGTTTATGTCTGCGTGTGTAAATGAACACATTCATTTGTATGCATGTGTGAGTGTGCGCCTGCATGTAAATGTCTGTGTGTGGGTATATGCCTGGCCTACCACAAGCGCCGTGGTGACATCACCGCCACTTAGTAGCAAATGGCACCTGTTGTTACGTATGTGTATGCATACACATACACGCATACATGTGAGGAGCGGTAGTGTAGCGGTTTTCGCATTGTACTACGGATCCGACAACCCGAGTTCGATTTCCAATCATGTTGCGATGTATAAACGTAAACACTCGGGAGACAAAGGCCGCCGGGCATGGTGCTGGCCACCCATCCCCTTGTGTACCGTGCCGCCTTCATAGCCACTCGCTAACAGCACTTGCCCCAACAGTTTGTTAAGGCAATAAGGCGGCTTTGTCTTTGTCTCACCTAGCAGCCGAGCTCACAGGCAGATGGGCACACACACCAGGCACGCGGAGAAGCTTATCCACCAGCAGCGCACCTGCAGACACAAATACAAGCAGGGTTCCAGCCAGACCTGGGGTCAATAATAATTACAATTACAGCTGCAATGTTAACTGAAACTACAATAACATTGTTAGTACAAGTCATGATGAATGGCGGCACTGGATCCCGATACCGTGTTTTGTTCCGGCGGTATTAAAACACTGTATTCCGGCACTACGTACCATTCTGTAATTGTGTTTTTAGCGCTACATTTCAATACTGGGTCATCGTACTGTGGTCTGTTACTGTACTGTTCCAGGACTGCGTAGTTTTTTGGTACTCTGTTCTGCTGTAGAATGTTCCATTTGTGTTCTGTTCCGACACTGTTAAATGTGGCACGTGGAATGTGGTCATATGACGAAGGCTCACCCTGGCTCCATTGGCGCTTGATCACCCACGTGCCGCGCCCATCCTCCGATGCCTGCGATTTCCCACAATCCTTCATCTGCTTCTTCTCTGCACACACAAATAAAAATACAAGATTCCCCTCATATATCCTGAACAGACTGTTGGAGAAAGTGCTCTTAGTGAGCACCTGTGAAGGCCAGAACAGCTCACGAGAGGGTGGTGTGGCTAAACACCACGCCCGGCCGCCTTTGTCTCCCGAGTGGTGATCTTTACGCATCACACTCGGTACTCATTCAAGGTTGAGCTGTTTTAGGGGAGGCCAAGGACCAGTTCATATTTTTGTCACTGATGTTGGCTGTAGGTGGGAATTGAACATCGGCCGCCGGGTCAGGAGCACACACGCACACGCAAGCTCCATGGCCGTGATTGGCAGTGCTTGCAAAACTGGACGGATTGTCTTTAAAGCAGCGGAGATTGTGCTTGTAATGGTGATTGGTGACAGCAGCGTAAAGAAGGGATCACACAGGGGGGTGGGGGGTGTGGTGTACACAGTCAGCGGTGGGGAGCATATAGGGAGCCAAACCTTCTGCTGCATCCGTCCGAGTGCCACGGCCAAGCGAGGAGTCTGCACGAGGCGATGATGCGCCCACTCGTGGACTAAAGAAAAACAAAAACACACAGCGCACAGACTCAGCGATATTAGTGTAAAACACACACACATGGTAGAGGCACGCTCAAGCAACACAACAACACAGCACATATACACACTGCAGAAACGTAACAATACAGTAGACAGCCACAAAAAGCAACAACAGGAAACAGTTGAGTCTCACACCAAGCAACAATAGCAGTACTCTCTGTACAGCAAGACAACAACGATGTCAAACATAATTACAATCACGGTTCTGGAGAGGACCAGCTGTCAGGCTACAGAGAAGGGGGAAGGAAGAGGAGGGGGACTTCTTTTCATTCCTTGCATAAGTGCTCATGCAAACTGCTCGTTACCACCGACCAGAACAATACAACACACAGCAAAAACTCTCTCACACGCAAGCACGGACGCACACAAACAGTCCCACATGCCTCACGACGCCGCTCACCTGCCAGTAGTGAGGCCAGAGCCACCCCAGGGGGACCGCGGGCTCCGTGTGCCCCGCTCCAGCACGTACAGGCGGTTCTGCAGCGACTTCGTCTCGGCGTCTTTGAACTGCATCTGAGACTTCAGGCCCTCCACCTACACAGACAACATCGCCGGGGCATGGAAACGGCTGTGATTATGGCTCTTGCGTTAGGTTAGCATAAGGGCTATGAACAAGGCTAATGGTGGGACCAGAGGTTACAGCTGGTGTTAACCTTCGAGTTAATGTAGAGGGCAGAGATAGTGACAATTTTTAAGAGTCAGGGTTATTCTAAGTGGCACAATTTTAGTGTCAAGGTCAGCGTTAGCGTCAGTGTCGGCTCGTGTCAAGTGTGGGATGTATATATATTCTTGGTTCTTTCGGTAAAGTCACATAGAAGGGAAATAATTAAATAATAATAATTAAATTTTTATTATCACGACGTTTCGACTGCAACACAAGCAATCATCATCAGGTGTGAAAACCACAACAAGAAATTTTGAAAAAAGTGGCGGTTATATTTAACGTTCGCTCTCCGTGGTGCTAACGTTAAAAAAACGCCACTTTTTCCAATTTCCTTGCTGTGGTTTTCACACCTGATGACGATTGCTTGTGTTGCAGTCGAAACGTCGTGAGAATTTAATTGTTTTATATTTTTATTATTTTACTGTTTCCCTTCTACGTGACTTTACCGAAAGAACCAAGAATATGAATCCCTGCAGTCACGAAAGCTTTAAAACAAAATTTGTGGGATGTACGTTAGTATCAGCACGTGGGTTCCGCGTCTGTTGCGTCGTCCTTGTGTCATCACCATGGCTCTCACCTGCTTGTGGAGGTCCCGCTCACGCTGGTCCACGGCGAGGGTGGCGTCCCTTTCGTGTCTCAGTCGCTCGACGCGTTGCTCGTTCAGGGCGGCCTGCACCGCTTGCAGAGACTCGCGCAGTATCCTCGCCTCTCCCTCGCGCATGTGCACCTCCTCCTGCAGTCGTGTGCACTGCCGCGTGCACGCAAATCAACGGGGGGTGCAAAGGCCAGTGTTAAGGTAGTCAGCATTTTATATTTAACTTTTAAAGTTTTCACAATGCTCTACAGCTTTCTCGTGTGTGTATATATATTTCTCCCAGATGTGTTTTAAATTGTTCAGTTTTCAGAGAAGCGACCGGCGCGTAATAATATTGTTTTATATTGTGTCGATCATGCAAATTGCATCTCACAATCACTGAGGAACCACAGATAAGCTGGAAGGCAGCCAGTCGATAAGCCAACGCCAATAATTGCCCAAGCTCTTTAGTTCTATATATATTAAGATGTTTTGAGCCAATTAATTATACGTGGAGCTTAACGATTACGCCAAACAACACGTGGTACAATACGGAAATACGAGCCATTTCTTGTCATTAGTCAAGGTTTTGGTCAATAAGCATGGATTCAATTAGTCTAGTCGACTAAAGCGGTTAATGTTTATGGTGTTTCCCCAAGGGGGGGAAGACATTGTTATAACAGTATTTGTACCCTGGAGTTAAAATTAAGAATTGTAAGGAGACCAATAAACAGATTCACTATCTCACACTAATTGAAACCCGCGTCTCTCACCTTGTCCTTCAATGACTGCCCCTCCCGTATCAGAGCCTCCACCTCCCTGGACCCTTGACCTTCCGAGGGGGGATCGTCCGCGGCGGCCACCACCCCCGCAGGCCGTGGCCCAGGGACCGGTAGGGCCCACGGCCCGGGACCCTGCGAGCCGCGTGGTCCAGGGGCAATCGCAGTCCGCAGCCGAGGGAGTGTCGCCGCGACTCGCTGTGGCTCGGCCTGCTGCTGTGGCTCGGCCTGCGAGTCGAGCAGGTTCAACTGCTCAAAGTCGGCATCGGACAAGTTCAAGTCGTCCGGGAAGGGGTCGGTGACCGTGGGCCCGCACGGCCGCTTGACGGGGGGGGGGCCCTCCCCCGACGCGGGGGGCTCGCCGCCCCGAATCCTCGCAAAAGTCCCCCTCATGGCGTCCGAGGAGACAGGGGACCCCGTGAGGAGACAGGGGACCCAGTGAGGGGACCCCTTGAGGGGACGCGAGACGCAGGGGTCCCCCTGAGGTCTCTGGTGAGGAAACCTGGGACCCTAGAGCCGGGGTCCCAGATCCCAACTCCCAGGTTGCTTATCCCAGAGATCTCAGATCCCAGCTCCCTGATGTCGGGTCACTTGTTATCAGTTGCATACAATTTAAGTGCAAACTTCATTGACAAACAGTTTGCATAGGTGTCGGCTAAGGTAGACGATGTTCCCTTTAGACCCCGTCGAGGCCGCAAGCCTCGAGTCTAGCGAGGCCGCCCCTACCGACAGAGGGGCACCGGGGGAGGCAGCGCAGCTTGGGTCGACGCCGCCGCCTCAAGCACTCGGGTCTCTGAGGAGGAGCGTGAAGGGGCTGGTGATGGGGGGGTATCTACCTGATTTATAGCGAGCATCCCAAGGGGTGAACTTCACTCCTCGACTGGCCGCTCCACTGGTCCTCCACTCACCCCTCACTCACCCCTCACTCCACCACTCACTACTCACTCCACCACTCACCCCACGGCTCACCAATCACCCCACCGCTCACCACACGGCTCACCACTCACCCCACCGCTCACCACTCACCCCACCGCTCACCACTCACCCCACGATTCACCACTCACCCCACGACCCACGACTCACCCCACAGCTCACCACTCACCCACCACCCCTTCGTACATTCAAACCCAGCAGGCCGCGGCTCGCCTGCGATTGGCGGCGGGCTGGTCACGCGGTCTGAGGGAACGCGCCTCATTGGACAGAAAACTCAGCAAAATATGTAAACCAAAGAATGTTCAGCACGCACTCAACTCCAAATCTGACCTACACAACATACCAGAAACTTGCGCTTTTGTGTTATAAACAAACAAGGAGTTTAACTGCAACCGTATGTCCCTAACAAACAACACAAACCCAAGAAACAGCAGTAACCAGAGTAATTCAATAAACTGGTTAAAATAAAGAAAATATAGCTTTCAAAGTTAATATTGACGTTTTGGGTTAGGCCACTTCATGGACTGACCAACATCTGAAAATCATCATCAGCGTCGTGAAGAATAAAAATCGCATAAACAAGCAGACTATCGCTTCTTCCATATATATTACGTATCTTCGCTAACACAAACAAAAAATATTTTACACAACCCATGCAGCATTGATTCAGGACCAGCAAAACATCTGGACCGGTTTCAATCTGTTGTGTTTTTTTAATGCCCCTCCACTTACCTGACACGGCCAAACATGAAAATGTCACGTGGTCTACAATGATTTTAATAAATGCCTGTGTTTTAGCTCGCACTTGCTAATTTGAAGAATTATCACACCTGTCAACCCCTTATCAGTGCCCTACCTTGTTACAGATCAATTCAGACACTATTGGTCACCCCGTGCCCTTATAAATCTCAACGTTTATCCTACAAAGTGCCATCACAAAGGAGAAACACAAACAAGTAGACGAAACAATGTTGCCCGCATTGAAACGGCTGTACGTCGTATGGGTCTGCAAACTCAATTTCCCTGTACAAGAATATGGGTAAACCGTATGGGTTGACAGGTATGAATTATCAGTCTGACGATTAAAATTATTATGAAGAAAATAAATTAAATCACGACGTATCGAGCGCAACACGAGCGTCCGTCATCAGGTGGGACAACCACAGCAAGAAACAATGGCTGAAGTGGAAATGACGGACGCTTGTGTTGCGCCCGAAACGTCGTGATTTAATTTATTTTATAGCTACGTAACTTTACAGAAAGATCCAAAGAGCATGGATCCTGCAGTCACGAAAACTTCAAATTATGAAGAAACCACATAGACCCAAACAACTCATGAAATTACAATTTCAAGCCTGTCCGTAAACCCAAGAAAGGCATTAATCAGGTGGCTGCGTGATAACCTGAGTTTGAATCCGGGGTTCGGCTGCCTGTGATTAGACCAGGACCTCAAGTGTAGTGAGTTGATAATCTCAGCCTGATCTCCATTGACTTGCATAGACTCACAGAGAGACCCACACACACTTGCATAGTCTGAGTTGTGATCAAACTGAGTTCTCAAGTGTAGTGAATTGATGGCCTCAGCCCGATCACAACTCCACACACGCAAAAACCAGCACAATAAATTTGATTTTGCGCTTAATTTGGCCAAATTCCAATTCTAATCTTTTACAAATATATTAGTTTTATTGACATGCCATAACCATTACTGTACTCACCGATGGCAGAGCAGGTGGGAAAGTGTGGCCCACAAATGTGTGGACCAGATGTCACCTAAATTGATCTCAGAAGTAGTTACGTGACATCCACTTCCATGGGCCGTCCTCTAGCTAACACGGAGGGTTCTTTGTGTGATGGGGCATGATGCAAATAACACAGTAAAAATAAAATATTGGAAAACACAAGCATAAAATAACGCGTATCTTATAAAACATAAAATTAATCAAAAATTGAAAAACAATGACAATGGATAATGCATTCATTATCTAAGTGCAAACTGGAAACGTCAATGATTTATAACGTTTGAATACACCTGTATTTACGTGTTTGTTATGCACTTATTAGCACAGTAAGTATGCAACGTTGAGCCAACATTTGCATAGGATAGATTTGTGCCAGAAAGGCACGCCACGTATTAAAAATATGTTTTACTTGACTTGGTAGGAACCATTGGCCCAACGTTGGGCCAAGAGTACTATTTCTATTGGCAGTTGATACCCTGGACACCCTTGCAAGCAAGAAGTGCCATCTCCAGGGCTTTTTTTTATACAAGTAAAGTTTTTTCACGAATAAATATGATAAAAACTAAAACAATAAACCCGAGACATCCAATTGATCAGGTTCCGTTCAACCTAAGCTCTCTCAGCATAATGGTTTTGGCGCTTTCGAGATTGTGTGTAGGTGGGAAGGGAGGGAGGTAGAAACTTCCACGGATTTCTGTCAATGGCTTTTCCTGATGCCGGGGGATTTCCACAGGGGTCCGTCCAATAACGGGGACCGGCGCCAGGGCGGGGGGGGGGGGGGGTAGACACAGGGTTGAACCCCCAGTCTGCCCTAATGATTCTGATTTCCCCAACCGTTATCCCCCAGTCTTCTCTGCCAGTTCTGATCCTCCATTCTGATTCCTGATATGCCCATGCTTGATTCCCCACCCCTGACCCTCCAATTTGAACCCCCGATCCCTAAACCCCCAGTATTGATCCCCGAGTTTGATCAGTTATTCTGATCCCCAAAGTCCTAATTCCCGATTCCCCAGTCATGATGCTAAGTTCTGAACTTCCAGTCAGATCCCTCATTTTTGATCCCCCGTGGTGGCGAGATGTTAGCTACCTTGCCTGGTATGCAGGAGGTCGTGGGTTCGATCCCGACCCCGACGCCTGCTGTATATTTGGAGTTTGCATGTCTCCGGGTCCACCGTTCCCCCCCACCCCCCTCCACATGGAGAAGCATATGTTTAGAGTATTTGGCTGAAATAAATTCCCACGTGATAAGCCACTTCATTGACCTATCAGTTGTGGCAAGGTCGCTTCTGAAAAAAGAGCTATATAGCTCAATGGGCCTTACCTGGTAATATAATAAGAGTTTACAGTTTAAAACCACCAGCATGATCACGGGTTCCTAACCCCCCACTGAAGCCATCAGGACCTCCTCCACAGATTCTGGATCCCATCTATAGAGCCCGTACCACAATCCCCCTTTCTGGACCCCTTCCCCACACCTTATCTGTTTGCGCGCACAGCACCCTTCATAGCCCCCGATCTCAGGGGTCATCGGGGGCAGTAGAAATCCGCGGCGGCACCTACGTAAGTTACCTCCCCTGTATCTAAGATAACGAGAGCCAAGTCAGCCAACCCCGTGGGGGGGAGGGGCTTCCGCGGATGTCTGCAGAGAGCGCGGGGATGGAGTAGGTGGGGGGGGGTCTCAATGGCTCCATTGTTGTAAATGCCCCCTGCCTCTCGCATTACCTCTCGTCCCCTCCGTCTCTCCCGCATCTCTGCTACATCTCTGCCGACCAGCAGCGACTCCTCCAGCTCGACTCTCCATTGACTTCTAAGTTACAGGTTCGATACGTGACCGCAATGCACACACACACTCTCATTGCCACACGCTACTGATCTTCCGTGGATCCGTTACCAGCATGTGAGTTAGGGAAAGTGCTGTTAGCGAGAACCTATTAAGGCGCACGAAACCACACCGACCGCCTTTGTCTCCCCAGTGCTTCACGTCAGGCTGAGTCAACTGGTTTGGATATCACGACAATAATGTTAGCCGTGGCTGCGAATCGAACTCGGGTGGTCGCTGTGTGCCCGATTGACGTGTGATAGTCACACAGACACACATCATACGCATAGACACAAAAATACATACACAAACCCACAATTCCTATTCTGTACACGGCACACACTGACACACTGGCACAGCACACATGACAAAGAGCACGTAACACACACAAACTACAGCGGCGTGAGCGCCTGTTAAGCCGACAGAAACGTTCCAGTATTCTTAAAATAGCTCCATTGTTCTGTGGTCCTTTCGGTAAAGTCACGTCGAAATAAATTAAATAAAATAATAATAGAATACGACGTTTCGATTGCAACACAAGTAACCATCATCAGGTACAAATGAATGAGATTATATTATATTTCCAAGTTTACTATGTTTGTTTTCACATTCATTTGTACCTGATGGTGGTTGCTTGTGTCGCAATCGAAACGTCGTATTCTATTATTTAATTTAATTTAATTCGACGTGACTTTACCGACAGAACCAAAGAGTCAATCCTGCAGTCACGAAAGCTTCGAATCTGGTTTTAGCTCCATTGTGTTAATAATGTTAGTGGCAGGGCTCGCGTGAGACTATGGGGTTATGGACAACAGGGCTAGAATGACGGGTAAAGTTACGGGTTAAAATGTTACTGTGTTAAATTAACAGTATGGATGTGGCCTGCATGTATGTTGAACTTCTTTCGCACCGTACGTAGCCAACCGTGCACATCGGGAGGTGCGCAGGAAGGATAATAAACTGTTAGGAGTGGGGCTGGTGTTAGAGATAGTGGTAGGGCACGTGTTAGAGTATGTAGGAATATGTATATGGCTCGTGTTAGCGAGAGGGCATGTGTTAGAGTATGGATAGTGTTAGTGGGAGGGCACGTGTTAGGGTATGGATATGGTTAGTGTTAGTGGGAGGGCACGTGTTAGGGTATGGATATGGTTAGTGTTAGTGGGAGGGCACGTGTTAGAGTATGGATATGGTTAGTGTTAGTGGTAGGGCACGTGTTAGAGTATGGTTAGTGTTAGTGGGAGGGCACGTGTTAGGGTATGGATATAGTCAGTGGTAGGGCACGTGTTAGTGTATGGTTAGTGTTAGTGGTAGGGCACGTATTAGAATATGGATATGGTTAGTGGGAGGGCACGTGTTAGGGTATGGATATGGTTAGTGGGAGGGCACGTGTTAGAGTATGGATATGGTTAGTGGGAGGGCACGTGTTAGGGTATGGTTAGTGTTAGTGGTAGGGCACGTGTGAGAGTATGGATATGGCAATTGTTAGTGGTAGAGCACGTGTTAGAGTATGGATATGGTTAGTGTTAGTATTAGGGCACGTGTTTGGGTATGGCTATTGTTAGTGGTAGGGCACGTGTTAGTGTATGGTTAGTGTTAGTGGTAGGGCACGTGTTAGTGTATGGTTAGTGTTAGTGGTAGGGCACGTGTTAGGGTATGGATATGGTTAGTGGTAGGGCACGTGTTAGGGTATGGATATGGTTAGTGGTAGGGCACGTGTTAGAGTATGGTTAGTGTTAGCGGTAGGGCACGTGTTAGAGTGTGGATATGGCTATTGTTAGTGGTAGGGCACGTGTTAGGGTATGGATATGGTTAGTATTAGTGGGAGGGCACGTGTTAGTGTATGGATGTGGTTAGTGTTAGTGAGAGGGCACGTGTTAGAGTATGAAGGAGTATCCGTATGGTAAGAAAAAAAATGACGACGTGCAGTGGACACCTACGGGCTATCTGCCCATGGATCGTGATGATGACGAGTGCCATGGTTGTGGCGAGTTTAGCGATGGTATGAGTGGCATGGTTGTGGCGAGTGTAGGGATGGTATGAGTGGCATGGTTGTGGCGAGTGTAGGGATGGTATGAGTGGGATGGTTGTGGCGAGTGTAGGGATGGTATGAGTGGCATGGTTGTGGCTAGTGTAGGGATGGTATGAGTGGCATGGTTGTGGCGAGTGTATGGATGGTATGAGTGGCATGGTTGTGGCTAGTGTAGGGATGGTATGAGTGGCATGGTTGTGGCTAGTGTAGGGATGGTATGAGTGGCATGGTTGTGGCGAGTGTAGGGATGGTATGAGTGGCATGGTTGTGGCGAGTGTAGGGATGGTATGAGTGGGATGGTTGTGGCGAGTGTAGGGATGGTATGAGTGGTATGGTTGTGGCTAGTGTAGGGATGGTATGAGTGGCATGGTTGTGGCGAGTGTAGGGATGGTATAAGTGGCATGGTTGTGGCTAGTGTAGCGATGGTATGAGTGGCATGGTTGTGGCGAGTGTAGGGATGGTATGAGTGGCATGGTTGTGGCGAGTGTAGGGATGGTATGAGTGGCATGGTTGTGGCTAGTGTAGGGATGGTATGAGTGGCATGGTTGTGGCGAGTGTAGGGATGGTATGAATGGCATGGTTGTGGCGAGTGTAGGGATGGTATGAGTGGGATGGTTGTGGCGAGTGTAGGGATGGTAAGAATGGCATGGTTGTGGCGAGTGTAGGGATGGTATGAGTGGCATGGTTGTGGCTCGTGTAGGGATGGTATGAGTGGCATGGTTGTGGCTCGTGTAGGGATGGTATGAGTGGCATGGTTGTGGCGAGTGTAGGGATGGTATGAGTGGAATGGTTGTGGCGAGTGTAGGGATGGTATGAGTGGCATGGTTGTGGCGAGTGTAGGGATGGTATGAGTGGCATGGTTGTGGCTAGTGTAGGAATGGTATGAGTGGCATGGTTGTGGCTCGTGTAGGGATGGTATGAGTGGCATGGTTGTGGCGAGTGTAGGGATGGTATGAGTGGCATGGTTGTGGCTAGTGTAGGAATGGTATGAGTGGCATGGTTGTGGCTCGTGTAGGGATGGTATGAGTGGCATGGTTGTGGCGAGTGTAGGGATGGTATGAGTGGCATGGTTGTGGCGAGTGTAGGAATGGTATGAGTGGCATGGTTGTGGCGAGTGTAGGGATGGTATGAGTGGCATGGTTGTGGCTAGTGTAGGGATGGTATGAGTGGCATGGTTGTGGCTAGTGTAGGGATGGTATGAGTGGCATGGTTGTGGCTAGTGTAGGGATGGTATGAGTGGCATGGTTGTGGCGAGTGTAGGGATGGTATGAGTGGCATGGTTGTGGCGAGTGTAGGGATGGTATGAGTGGCATGGTTGTGGCGAGTGTAGGGATGGTATGAGTTGCATGGTTGTGGCGAGTGTAGGGATGGTATGAGTGGCAGGTCACATGGCTCGCGTTAGTGGTAGGGTTATGGATGGTCCATGGCCAATATGAGTGGTCAGGCTTGTGGCATTGTTTGGGCGTTGGTGTGCCCCAGAGTTCACTGCACGCTCAGCGGTTGACCCCACAGACAACAAAACACACACAGAGACAAACCAAACAAAACCAAACCAACATCAAACACAAGTGGCGTGGGTTTGTGTTTGCGATGGACAAACACTGATGGGAGGCCCCGTGGCCACATGTCCCCCGTGTCCTTTAATGTCACTGTCTCCCTTGTCCTTGTGTCCACTGTCTCCTCCCATCACCTCCTTCTGTCCCCATGGCCTGATACCTCAGTGTCTCCCTGTGTCTCCCTGTGTCCCCATGTCCTCATTCAAAAAGGCCAGGCGTGGTCGTTGCTGGCCCGCCCATACTGGACATCTGTGAAAAAAATCTTCATAGCTCATCGGATTCCTCCAGTTTAAATAAAGATTCTGATTCTGTTGGTGGGCCGATTTGTGTGGGGAAATTTCAAATGTGATCAAAGTAAAAACATTTTTTGTTTTGTTTATGCAAATATTTTATTATCTCTAATATATATGCTTCATTGCTTATTTACGCTCTCAGTTGGCACTGAGTCCCATATCCGGCAGCCCCAAATATTATTTCTCACCGGCTCATTTGTTTTTGTGGACCAGATGGGCCAATGAAATTCCAAGGCAATTTCGGCCAGTGTGTTTACAAATGCCTGGGCTGATTTTTAGTCCCAGTCCGTCACTGCCTCTGTGCCTCTGTCTGTCCCCAGGGCGTGCCTCCATTCAGGATACCTGCCCTGGTGGTGTCGCCGCTGGTGCTGCGGGTAATCCACTTTCTTCCTTGACTCCCCTTGTTTCTGCGTCTCCCCGTCTGTCCCCTTGCCTCCCCGTGCGTCTCCGTTCAGGATGCGTCTGCTGATCGTGTGGGCGCTGGTGCTGCTGGCCGTGGTGCCGATCCTCGCCGCGCCCCCCAAGGAGAAGAAGGCCCGCAAGAAGCCGCGCCCCACGGAGCCGCCGCCGCCACCGCCACCGGAGCCCGAATACGTCGTGGAGGCCCCACAGGACCCCGTGCCCGACCTCAGCAACTACGACGACCTCCTGAATTACGACACCGAACTGCTGGCGGAGCCCAAGGTTAGAGGTCTGGGGCAGGGGGGGGGGCACAATATGGAGAGCGGGTACAGTCTGACTCCTGATCTAAACTCTGACCCAATCATTGACCTTAATATTGTTGCTCCCAAGACAACGTCTGCGACTCAGTTGGACTCACTCCACAATGACATGAACAGTAGCCCTCTAACCCTGCTCTCAAGTCTTACCCAGAGACTGAACCTAACCCTGATCCTAATAAATGAACGCAGCTTTGACCCAGATGCTAAGGGTAACCCTAACCCTGATCCGAACTCTGACCCTGAGACTGATCCCAACTCTGACCCAGAGACTTATCCCAACTCTGACCAGGACCCTCAACAGCCTCATCTCTGACCATCATCCTAAAACACTAACACTAATACTCAACCTTGATCCTAACCCTCACCATAATGGATGAAAAATGGCATCAGCCCTAAATATGAAATTGACCCTGGCCCTGATTCCTAACCCTGCACACTAACAGTCTAACAAAAACACCTGACCCTGATCCAAAAACTGACCCTAACCTTAACTACAATAACGATACTCTAACCCTGACCCTAACCTTAACTACAATAACAATACTCTAACCCTGACCCTAACCTTAACTACAATAACAATACTCTAACCCTGACCCTAACTTTAACTACAATAACAACACTCTAACCCTGACCCTAACTTTAACTACAATAACAACACTCTAACCCTGACCCTAACTTTAACTACAATAACAATACTCTAACCCTGACCCTAACTTTAACTACAATAACGATACTCTAACCCTGACTGACCCTAACTTTAACTACAATAACAACACTCTAACCCTGACCCTAACTTTAACTACAATAACAATACTCTAACCCTGACCCTAACTTTAACTACAATAACAACACTCTAACCCTGACCCTAACTTTAACTACAATAACAATACTCTAACCCTGACCCTAACTTTAACTACAATAACAACACTCTAACCCTGACCCTAACTTTAACTACAATAACAACAAACCCTGACCCTAACTTTAACTACAATAACAACACTCTAACCCTGACCTTAACTTTAACTACAATAACAATACTCTAACCCTGACCCTAACTTTAACTACAATAACAACAACGAACCCTGACCCTAACTTTAACTACAATAACAACACTCTAACCCTGACCCTGACTTTAACTACAATAACAACACTCTAACCCTGACCCTAACTTTAACTACAATAACAACACTCTAACCCTGACCCTAACTTTAACTACAATAACAACACTCTAACCCTGACCCTAACTTTAACTACAATAACAACACTCGAACCCTGACCCTAACTTTAACTACAATAAAAACACTCTAACCCTGACCCTGACTTTAACTACAATAACAATACTCGAACCCTGACCCTAACCTTAACTACAATAACAACACTCGAACCCTGACGCGACTGTTAACTTGCTGTGAGGGCCCAAGGTGAAAGCATCAGGGCACTTGACAATCGACCCTAACCCGGACTCTAACTTCTCCCCCGCTGTAGGAGGAGCCCGGGTTGCTCACCCCGAAGACAGAGGCACAGCCCAAGGCACCCGTGACCGAGAAGCCAAAGACCCCACCGCCCCCCGCTGCGGATGGGGGAGCCGGGGGAGCAGGGGGACCAGGACTGTTTGGCCAGGAGGCACCAATAGGTACTTGTGAATCTCTGGTGTGGTGGTGGTGGTGAAGGTGGTAGTGGTTGCGGCGATGGTGGTGATGATGGTGTTTGTGAAAGCAGTGTGGATGAGGGTGGTTTGCGGTGATGGTGGTTGTTACGGTGATGGTGGTTGTGACGGTGATGATGGTGGTTGCGGTGATGATGGTTGTTCTGGTGATGGTGGTTGTTATGGTGGTGGTTGTTATGGTGATGATGGTGGCTGCGATGATGATGGTTGTTACGGTAATGGTGGTTGTGGAGATGGTGGTGTAAAAGACACAAATCCCTGAACACAAACACAGCGCTCCTTCAACTCTAAACCCTGACGCACTCAACTCCTGTCGCCACCACCCCCATGATCCCACTCTGCTCACCCCCCTGCCCTCTCTCTCCGTGCAACCCGTGTGCCGTCCCCGTGCCAGGCCTCCCCACGTGCTTGCTCTGTGTGTGCCTGCGTGGCTCCGTCTACTGCGATGACAACGACCTGGACGCCATCCCGTCGCTCCCTCGCGACACCTCCTACTTCTACGCGCGATACAACCGCATCGGCACCGTGCGGCTCGCCGACTTCCAGGGCCTGAGTGAGAGGACCGGGCCCGAACACGATGGGGGGACGGTGGTGGTGGTGGGGGAGGGCGACAGCGTAGGGTGCCACACACAGGAGCACGCAGATACCGGGCAAAGACCAAGATCCTCAGTATAGCCTCAACAGACTGTTGGGGCAAGTGCTGTTAGCCGCTAGCACCTTTGAAGGCCGGAACGGCGCACGAGGAGATGGGTGGCCAGCGCCACGCCTGGCCGCCTTTGTCTCTCTAGTGGCAATGTTTCCACATCGCACCATTTGATGCTGAGTCGACCTAGGGGAGGCCCAGGACCGGTTCAAATATTCACCACTTTTATTGGTCGTGAGCAGGAACAAAACTCAGGTCGCCAGGTTCATAGCGCAGCTCGCTGACCGCTACACTACCACTCCCCACAGACACACAAACAGACACACACACAAACAGACACACAGACAGACACACACAAACAGACACACAAACAGACACACACAGACACACAAACAGACAGACACACACACAGACAGACACACACGCAGACACACAAACACACACAGACACACACACACAGACACACACACAAACAGACACACAAACAGACACACACACAAACAGACACACACACAGACACACAAACAGACAACAACAACCGCCATTCGCCACTAAGTGGCGGTGACGTCACCACGACGCTTGTGCCAGGCTATGTGCACCCTGAGGCCACGTGAAGTGTCGAACGCCCGCTGGCAGGAGGTCACGGGGCAGAGCCAGGTGCCACGGGTTGACTGACTGAGATGACTGAGATGAGTGGCTGATGCACCACCTGTGCCCCCTACTGTGCCAACCTGCTGTGCTTTAGCCACCCGGCGCTCCGCTCGTTGTTGTGAGCGTCGCTCCTCCACCCTCCGTTGTTGTTGGAGGGCGACTACCTCCAACTGCCCAGTAGCGTCCTTCACGAGCCTCCTCCACAGAGGCCGATCTTGACACCGCTGGTACTGGTCATCGGCAAGTCCACTCAGCTCCACGTCCTCCTGTACCACATCACTCCATCTCTTCTCTAGCCCGTGCCGCGCCCGCTTAGCCCCCTCAATCCGGCCGAACAAAAGCTATTTCGGCATGCGGTGGCTGGGCATGCGGGCTACATGACCCAGCCATCGCAGCCTTCCCCGCCGGAGGAGCTCACCGATGGGACCTTGCCCAGATCTTTCAAGGATTTTTGAGCTCCTCACACAATCCAGTCTGGTTAAACCCAGGATGGATCGTAGGCAGGCCAGCCTAAATGTTTCTAACCGGCGAAGATGTTCCATTAGGGGGGTCCAATGTTTCGCAAGCGTAGAGAAGGGAGGGAATGACCGTGGCCGAGAAAACCTGAAGCTTAGTGCGGAGCGACAGACCAGGTAGCTTCCACACAGCGTTACGCAACCGATGAAAAGATATTGCCGCTCGACTGATTCGGAGTGAGACCTCTGCTGTTAAACTGGAGCCAGTCATAAGCACACTGCCCAGGTATGGGAAATTCTCCACTCTCTCCACAACTGCCCCATCACCGATTGGGAGTTGTGGGGGTGGAGTGTCCGATGGTACAAAATACCCAGGCAGGTGCTTAGTTTTGGTGGGGCTGATGGTAAGGCCCCACCTCTTAGTGGCACGCTCCAGTCTCAGCAGCAGCATCTCCAACTCCTCCTCTGAATGAGCAGCTATTACCAAATCATCAGCATACATAACGTGGTTGAGCAATAGGGAGCCATCCCTTGACCGCACCCGGACATCGACACACACACAAACAGACACACACACAGACACACACACACACACAGACACACACATAGACACCCACACAGACACACAAACAGGCACACCGACATGGCACCCTCAGACTCCTGACCCGTGAGGACTGCCTCGATTCTTCTCTCCGTCCCCTCCGCCAACGCCGCTCCCCCCCCTCCAGCCCGTCTCAAGCGCATCGACCTGTCCAACAACGAGGTGGCCACCGTGGAGGCCGGGGCGCTGGTGGGGCTGGTGGCGCTGGAGGAGCTGAACCTCGGCAGCAACCGCCTGACGGCAGTCCCGGCGCTGCCCCCCTCCCTGCGTCAACTCGACCTGCAGCACAACCACCTGGTCAACAGCGGCCTCCCCGTCGACGTCTTCAGGGTTGCGTCCCCCCACCCCCAACTCCTTCACAGACCCCCAGCTCCTGCACGGCTGCGTAACGCTTCCCCTAGCTCAGGGGTCGGCAACACAAAGAGCCATTTATTGTTCAAATTCGGTAAAAGAAAAACCTCAATACAATTTTCAAGAGCCGCAATGCATGTGGTGAATGCGAGACGGTGGTCCTTAATAACGTCACGAAGCAGCAGTCCTTGAAGTGCCGCATGCAGTTCCGAAGCTTCAGGTTGCTGACCCCCTACCCTAGGTCGACTAAGCCTTGAATAACGACCTGGTGTGGTGTGTCAAGGTCAGCATTGGGAAGACGAAGGCGGTCGGGCGTGGTGCTGGCCACACCACCTTTCTCGTGCAACGTGCTCGCTAACAGCACTTGCCTATCAGTCTGCAATGGCCATACGGGGATCTTTGCCTTTTGCATATATGCATGTGGGCATGTCTGCCTGGCATCAAGGACTGGCGTGAGTTGGCCAACGAGCCACATCACCACGTGGCATGCACCCATGCACCACACCACCACGTGACATGCACCCATGCACCACAGCGGCTAATGGGGGTGACCCCTGGTGGCCTCTCCCTCTGCTCTACGTTACTTTCCATGGTACCATCGGGTAAATTAATCAACATCAGTGTGTGCCAGCGGCCTCGAATGCACAGCTATCGATGAAGTCTCCTGGCCAATTCCAGTTTGAGCCAGACAAGGGCCTACTAGATATAGGAATAGTCTTTACCCTTTTAACTGGCACAAAAACTGACACCTTTATTCAAGGCATCATGTTTGCAATAACCACAACACAAGCAGTCAAAATGCAAACAAAAGAGACAACTCTGATAATATGCACTGTTCTTGAATTTGATTGGTCCTTCCCCCCCCCCGCGCCAAACTGCTAGTCCACCGGCACGTACACCACCTTTTTCCAAAATCCGCCAATCAAATGCTAATTTTTATGCTAATTTCTTTGTCAGAACACCTTGTTTGCTCGCACACAGGTCCGATGTCTGAGCGTGGTTGTGTTTCGCTAAATTCTCCTGTTTGATGAGTACTAGGTGCCTCGGTGAATGTATATGCTCTAACATTAACATAGCTATTTCTGTGACCAGTTACAAGCTAATCACTCAGCTATTTCAATGCTAAATTCGATGCTAATTCCGTTGTCAAGGGGTAACTCTGCAGATATGTATACTTTAACTTAGCTATTTCAATGAGCCATTTCAATGCTAAATTATATGCTAATTCCTTTGTCAAGGCGCTTGGTCTTTTTCTTCTCACACAGCTTAAAGGTCGTGATCTAAGCGTGGCTTCTTCCACTCCAGCGCTGTCCTCCAGACAGTCTCGTCCCTTCACCTGATGAAGGCCGCTTGTGTTGTGGCCGAAACGTCGTGATTTTTTATTTTATTTTCACCTACGTGACTTTACCCGATAGAACCAAAGAGTATGGATCCTAGCAGTCACGAAAGCTTCAAATCTAGAATTGTAGTCGCGATTGTTTGCTGTTGTGCAAATAATTCTTCCAGATTTGAAAAATGTCACTGGCACAGTGGTTAGCGCTCTGGGCTACAAGCCCAATGACCGCGCTCAAGGCTAACATCAGTGAGTCATATTTGAACGGGTCTTGGGCCTTCACTCGGTCGACTTGTTATGAAGCAAGTCCCGGGTGTGGTGCTTCATAAGTTATCAGTAACAGCACTTGCCCCAACAGCATGCGTAGGCTACATGGGGGATATTTGCCTTTCTGCAGGATATGAATGTGCTCACCTACCTCTACCTGGGCAACAACCACCTCGACCACATTCCCGTGCCATTCCCCATGAGTCTCCGCGTGCTGCACTTGCAGGTATATGGGTAGATAAACAGGTGTATGGGTGGATACACAGGCGTATGGGTGGATACACAGGTGTACACAGGTGCATGGGTGGATACACAGGTGTATGGGTTGATACACAGGTGTATGGTTGGATACACAGGTGTATGGGTGGATACACAGGTGTATGGGTGGATACACAGGTGTATGGTTGGATACACAGGTGTATGGGTGGATACACAGGTGTATGGGTGGATACACAGGTGTATGGGTGGACACACAGGTGTATGGGTGGACACACAGGTGTATGGGTGGACACACAGGTACGTGGACACATACACAGGTACGTGGACACTTACACAGGTACGTGGACACCTACACAGGTACACATGGGCGAAAATACTCCGGTGCCCAAGCAAGGGGCACGTATCCCACCTTGGGGACTTCCTAGAGGCGATCCAGCACGCCTGACAGCCCGCAACGCTTTGCCGCCCCCCCCCCCCAACAACCCGCCGTTTCTACCGCCCCCCACAGTACAACAACGTGCAGGAGATCCGGGACGACACGTTCTGCAGCACCAAGCGCCCAATCATGCGTCGCGTCCTGGAGGACATCCGTCTGGACGGCAACCCGGTCAACCTGAGCCGCACGCCCAACGCCTACGTGTGCCTGCCTCGGCTGCCCACGGGCCGCACGTACTGACACCACCACCACCACAAGCACGACAACAAACATCAACAACAACAACACAAGACCACAACAACAACAACGCCTACGTGTGCCTGCCTCGGCTGCCCACGGGCCGCACGTACTGACACCACCACAAGCATGACAACAAACATCAACAACAACACAAGAACACAACAAACATCAACAGCACAACATCTACAACGCTGACTTGTACCTGCCGTGCCTGCCCACGGCCGCACACACTGACCAACACCACAACAAAAAGAACCACAACACGAGATGTTAACTGCCTTGCCAGGTATACAGGAGGTCGTGGGCTCGATCTCGACCCTGTCGCCTGCTGTATATTTGGAGTTTGCATGTCTGTCCGCCTGTGGTCGCGTGGATTTTTCTCCGGGTCCTCCGGTTTTTCCCTCCACATTAAAAGTCGACGTGCATTTAGGGTATTTGGCTGCTATAAATGTCCACGTGATGAGTCTCTTTGTTGAGCTATCATTTGTGGCCAGGTCGCATATGAAAAAGAGCTATATAGCTCAGTGGGCTTGAACCTGGTAAAATAAAAATAAAAATTGTGATTTTAAAGTTTGTGTTGATTGTTCACCTTTTGTTTGAGATTGCCTTTTTATATACACAGTATTCGTGTATTGTATGTAAAAAATGCAATTTAGATAAAGTTACAATGCTGTAAATGCTCAAAGTTAGTTTCAATAGAAATAACGGAGTTTTGCTAAGAAAACGGATGTACCAGTGTATTGTCCCACAACCCCCGAATTAGGCCCGGTGTTGTGACGGCACACTGTATCAGGGCCAAGGCTCGATATCACAAGGACCGACGAATCGCTGCCATGCTCCTTCAAGGGTTGCTCCATGCCGTGTTGCGGTTCCGACCCTTGTACAGCGGAGGAAGATTTGGGTCACTTTCCAAGTTCCTTCACATGCTCCATGCCGTGTTTTATGGTGCACCCCTGGCAGGGAACACAAACCTCCCCTATCACTCGCCTGTCACTGCTACTATACTACCTTGGCCACTGTTTCCGTGAGCTTCACCCGTTGATTCCTCCACGCGCATTGAGGACTCGGTTCATTAGCACCAGACTGCTGCTCACAACAACACTCACCCACTCACCACACTGCAGGTCACAACAACACACTCACCCACTCACCACACTGCAGGTCACAACAACACACTCACCCACTCATCACACCGCAGGTCACAACAACACACTCACCCACTCACCACACTGCAGGTCACAACAACACACTCACCCACTCACCACACTGCAGGTCACAACACACTCACCCACTCACCACACTGCAGGTCACAACAACACACTCACCCACTCACCACACTGCAGGTCACAACAACACACTCACAACAACACACTCACTCACTCACCACACTGCAGGTCACAACAACACACTCACCCACTCACCACACTGCAGGTCACAACACACTCACTCACTCACCACACTGCAGGTCACAACAACACACTCACAACAACACACTCACCCACTCACCACACTGCAGGTCACAACACACTCACTCACTCACCACACTGCAGGTCACAACAACACACTCACAACAACACACTCACTCACCACACTGCAGGTCACAACAACACACTCACCCACTCACCACACTGCAGGTCACAACTACACTCACCCACTCACCACACTGCAGGTCACAACTACACACTCACCCACTCACCACACTGCAGGTCACAACTACACACTCACCCACTCACCACACTCACCCACTCACCACACTGCAGGTCACAACAACACTCACCCACTCACCACACTGCAGGTCACAACAACACACTCACCCACTCACCACACTGCAGGTCACAACAACACACTCACCCACTCACCACACTGCAGGTCACAACAACACTCATCCACTCACCACACTGCAGGTCACAACAACACTCACCCACTCACCACACTGCAGGTCACAACAACACTCACCCACTCACCACACTGCAGGTCACAACAACACTCACCCACTCACCACACTGCAGGTCACAACACTCATCCACTCACCACACTGCAGGTCACAACAACACACTCACCCACTCACCACACTGCAGGTCACAACAACACACTCACCACACTGCAGGTCACAACAACACACTCACCCACTCACCACACTGCAGGTCACAACAACACACTCACCACACTGCAGGTCACAACAACACACTCACCCACTCACCACACTGCAGGTCACAACAACACACTCACCACACTGCAGGTCACAACAACACACTCACCCACTCACCACACTGCAGGTCACAACAACACACTCACCCACTCACCACACTGCAGGTCACAAAACACACTCACCCACTCACCACACTGCAGGTCACAACTACACACTCACCCACTCACCACACTGCAGGTCACAACAACACACTCACCCACTCACCACACTGCAGGTCACAACTACACTCACTCACCCACTCACCACACTGCAGGTCACAACAACACACTCATCCACTCACCACACTGCAGGTCACAACTACACTCACTCACCCACTCACCACACTGCAGGTCACAACTACACTCACTCACCCACTCACCACACTGCAGGTCACAACAACACACTCATCCACTCACCACACTGCAGGTCACAACTACACTCACTCACCCACTCACCACACTGCAGGTCACAACAACACACTCATCCACTCACCACACTGCAGGTCACAACAACACACTCACCCACTCACCACACTGCAGGTCACAACAACACACTCACCACACTGCAGGTCACAACAACACACTCACCCACTCACCACACTGCAGGTCACAACAACACACTCACCCACTCACCACACTGCAGGTCACAAAACACACTCACCCACTCACCACACTGCAGGTCACAACAACACACTCACCCACTCACCACACTGCAGGTCACAACAACACACTCACCCACTCACCACACTGCAGGTCACAACTACACTCACTCACCCACTCACCACACTGCAGGTCACAACAACACACTCATCCACTCACCACACTGCAGGTCACAACAACACACTCACCCACTCACCACACTGCAGGTCACAACAACACACTCATCCACTCACCACACTGCAGGTCACAACAACACACTCATCCACTCACCACACTGCAGGTCACAACTACACACTCATCCACTCACCACACTGCAGGTCACAACAACACACTCACCCACTCACCACACTGCAGGTCACAACAACACACTCATCCACTCACCACACTGCAGGTCACAACAACACACTCACCCACTCACCACTCTGCAGGTCACAACAACACTCACCCACTCACCACACTGCAGGTCACAACAACACACTCACCCACTCACCACACTGCAGGTCACAACTACACACTCATCCACTCACCACACTGCAGGTCACAACAACACACTCACCCACTCACCACACTGCAGGTCACAACAACACACTCACCCACCCACTCACCACACTGCAGGTCACAACAACACTCACCCACTCACCACACTGCAGGTCACAACAACACACTCACCCACTCACCACACTGCAGGTCACAACTACACACTCATCCACTCACCACACTGCAGGTCACAACAACACACTCACCCACTCACCACACTGCAGGTCACAACAACACACTCACCCACTCACCACACTGCAGGTCACAACTACACTCACCCACTCACCACACTGCAGGTCACAACAACACACTCACAACAACACACTCACCCACTCACCACACTGCAGGTCACAACAACACTCATCCACTCACCACACTGCAGGTCACAACAACACTCACTCACCCACTCACCACACTGCAGGTCACAACAACACACTCACCCACTCACCACACTGCAGGTCACAACAACACACTCACCCACTCACCACACTGCAGGTCACAACAACACACTCACCCACTCACCACACTGCAGGTCACAACAACAACACTCACCCACTCATCACACTGCAGGTCACAACAACACTCACCCACTCACCACACTGCAGGTCACAACAACAACACTCACCCACTCACCACACTGCAGGTCACAACTACACACTCACCCACTCACCACACTGCAGGTCACAACAACACACTCACCCACTCACCACACTGCAGGTCACAACAACACACTCACCCACTCACCACACTGCAGGTCACAACAACAACACTCACCCACCCACTCACCACACTGCAGGTCACAACAACACTCACCCACTCACCACACTGCAGGTCACAACAACACACTCACCCACTCACCACACTGCAGGTCACAACTACACACTCATCCACTCACCACACTGCAGGTCACAACAACACACTCACCCACTCACCACACTGCAGGTCACAACAACACACTCACCCACTCACCACACTGCAGGTCACAACTACACTCACCCACTCACCACACTGCAGGTCACAACAACACACTCACAACAACACACTCACCCACTCACCACACTGCAGGTCACAACAACACTCATCCACTCACCACACTGCAGGTCACAACAACACTCACTCACCCACTCACCACACTGCAGGTCACAACAACACACTCACCCACTCACCACACTGCAGGTCACAACAACACACTCACCCACTCACCACACTGCAGGTCACAACAACAACACTCACCCACTCACCACACTGCAGGTCACAACAACACACTCACCCACTCACCACACTGCAGGTCACAACAACTCACTCACCCACTCACCATACTGCAGGTCACAACAACACACTCACAACTACACACTCACCCACTCACCACACTGCAGGTCACAACAACACACTCACCCACTCACCACACTGCAGGTCACAACTACACTCACCCACTCACCACACTGCAGGTCACAACAACACACTCACAACAACACACTCACCCACTCACCACACTGCAGGTCACAACAACACTCATCCACTCACCACACTGCAGGTCACAACAACACTCACTCACCCACTCACCACACTGCAGGTCACAACAACACACTCACCCACTCACCACACTGCAGGTCACAACAACACACTCACCCACTCACCACACTGCAGGTCACAACAACACACTCACCCACTCACCACACTGCAGGTCACAACAACACTCACCCACTCACCACACTGCAGGTCACAACAACACTCACTCACCCACTCACCACACTGCAGGTCACAACAACACACTCACCCACTCACCACACTGCAGGTCACAACAACACACACACCCACTCACCACACTGCAGGTCACAACAACAACACTCACCCACTCACCACACTGCAGGTCACAACA